ACATAAAAGAGAAATCACATTTAACATATACAACATAAAAATATACCAACGTTTCATAAGTATCAATGCAAATATATATACATAAACTTATGTCAACACAGTACATCTTTCGTTCATCCATTCATTCCATTTTATTACCCTTTCACTCTTTTATCATAATTAACTAATCCACTTGGTCCTGAGGGTCTCCTTAGAATCATTGAATTGACAACGGTTGAAAACCTTTGAAATTTTCCAGATGTGCATAGGTTAGTATAGTTTGGTACGCAACTGTTATTAATGTCCATTCAGTTAAAAGGTACAGTTTCTGAGGAACGGTATTTATCTTGAAGAATATCTTGAGAATTGTAAATGTCCAACATAGTTCAGCCTGGTTGAATGTGTAATTGCTACTAATGTCCATGTAGCCAATGAGATTAGTCTCTGCAGCCACAGTACGTATGTTGAAGAAAATGTATTCAGTCTCAGTTGCAGATATTAGATGTACGGAACAGTGTCAGTATAAACAGAAAGGTTTCAAGTTCTCTTTTAGGAACGTACATTAACATCATTACATTGTTAGATAGACTCTGTCAAGTCTGTCTATTTAAAACACTGTGTAAAGTTATCATGTGTAGTGAACTACTGCATCAAGCAACATTGTCTGTATGAAGTGAAATCTATATCTTGCAGTTTTGCTTCAGGATACAGACAGTTCTTTTTAGCATGCTGTCAATTGGATATCTTTAAAGTTGAAAATGTCGTTTGATCGAGCTGACATGACTCTGTTGGATGTAGATTCATTTTATAAACGGCTTAGTAGGTCTGCAATATGGTTGGTGGAGCCTTTGATATGAGCAATCTGAAATTTGAAGTCTTGCAGTAGCAATGCCCATCTCACAATGCGGCTGTTTTTCGGAGATGTCGACTTGACTAAAAGTGTCTTCTTGTCGGTCTGAAACAGGAATGTTTTGCCCAGCAGATACCGTTTGAGTTTGTACATAGGTACAACCACAGCCAAACATTCCTGCATTCTTGTAGAATACCGTTCCTCAGCCGATGTTAACTTTCTGCTAAGATAGCAGATCGGGTGTAGTACCTCTCCATCCAGCTGCATCCACTGGCATTGCACCTAAGAATAAAAGGCAATTTAGAATTGGGCAATTTTAACATGGGGAGACTGGAGAAAAGGATTTTAATCCTGGCGAAGGCCTGGTCCAACTCCGTATTCCACTAGATCGTATTGGCTAACCCTTTTTCAATAGTCGCGTGAAAACTGTTGTTTCCAGACCATGATTGAGAATGATTTTTTTAAAATAATAATAGTTTATGATCCCGAGTAGGCTTCGGATTTCCTTTTTGATGGTAGGGATTTTCAAATTCGAAATCTTTGTAACAATCTTCTCATTCCTCTTCATCATCATCACTTTATAAAAGTTATGTTATGGCCTAAAATATCAGTTTCTTCAAAAAAAAACTTCAACTTTTGAGGGCTGTATAATCAGTCCAAAATGTTTAGTTCTTTGAACAACAGGTGTTCTGTTGAACATTAATAATGAAAATGCACATATCAATAACAAACATTGGAATAATAGAAACATTAGAACATGTTTTTCGTTGATGGATCTATTGATGTTTGACCCTATGTGCTTTTTGCTTTGAGTGTATCTGTCTAGATCAACAGGGAATAAGTTACCAAATATAACATTCTCTTGTTTTTCTAACAGTGGCACTCGCTCTGAAATATGGGCATGTTCACATATACACTGGGAAGTGGTAAAAACGGGTGCAAGAATGTCTTTTTCAGAAGAAAGGGATTCTTTGGGTTCAGAAAAGAGACTATTAATAATGTATAATCTGGTAGAGGGCGGAGTCACTGTTGTGTTGAGTCCCTCGACCCGCAGAGATGGTTTTGAAAGAAGTGGTAAAACTTCTTTAAACTGTATATATTTATCTGGAGGATTGTCAAATTGTATGTTTGTGGTGACCTCATCTCTGATGTTTGTTTGAGTGGAAGAAATAACAGTTGAAAGTTTTTTCTTGCATTCTGTCACACACACATCTTTCTCTCCAACAGTTTGTTGTCTTGTTACAACACCACAATCAATGTTTTCTTGCTGCCATTTCACTACATCACTTTCAGACACATCTCTCACATTCTTGCAGTTGCCTAGAATGACATCAGCAACTGGATCTAATAACACGGCAAACTTAGTCTTTCCAGAACAATATACTGATCTGAGGTTGGCCCATGCCACCTCATACCTTTCTTTCCTTCCAGAAAACGTACGACATTCAATAAGTTCCCCAGTGTAATCGCAGTCATTCACCAAGCTCTTTCTAAAGCCTAATACTGTCGACCCACTGTCCCTCAAAATTGTACACTTCTGTCCATTAATAAAACCATTAATAAGATTGAGTTTTCCATCAAAGCTGGTTGCAGCATTTGCATCTCCTGTTGCTAATACATCATGGCCACAGGTCAGTTTGCCATTATCATTGAATGTCTTGCATACCTGACACTTCGTTTCTGCAAAGTCTACAATCTCTGCAGCATTTGCCGTAGACTGTTCAGGAATCCCTGGATCCGACATCATACCATCACTCTCGTTCCCACTACTTTCCGAAGTCTCTGCCGCAACACTTTGATGATATTGTTTACGATACTTGCATTTTTCCTGCAAGTGATTAATTGCACGGCGGATGCGGCATTCGCGAGGTAGGCCATATGAGCTTTTTCGTTCTGCTCTCCTCTTAAGCCAGTTCTGGACATGCTGTTCAAATCCTGGATTCTCCTCACACCACTGCCTTTTACCATGCTCCGTTTTACAATACGGGCATGTGATCATCGGGCCCTTATCCTTAAAGGATCTGTGACTCCTATGGTCTTTGAATGTCCTTCTTGTAGCCTCGGTGTGGTACGATTTTTTTCTGTAAACAGGTTGCACAGCAGCCCCATAATTGACATCTGAGTCTTTACCAAAAATGAAAATGTTTCTATGAGCATTGAAATAGGCTGCTCCTGATGTTTCCATTTCTTTGACTGTGGATGGCTTTTGTTCAATTAAGAATGTCATCATGTTACTGGGTACACTAGATAAAACTTTATCTCTAATTAGTAGATCTTTTAATAACTCAAAAGATTTACAAATCCTAGCAGCTGTTATCCACTTATCAAAGGTAGTCTCAACTTCCGACATGTAGTCGATAAAGGTTTGTTCAGGTTTTGGAGACAGATTTTTAAAAGTGTTCCTATAAGATTCCTCATCTAGTGCAAAATGCTGTAAAATTCTACCCTTCACAAACTCATAATCATCTAACTTCTCGACAGGAATTGTTTCTAACAGTTTCAATGGTTCACCCCCTAGATGTTTCCTGTAGACTAGTGACCATTCTGTAAGTGGTACTTCAAAGTGTTTTGCCATGTATTCAAAATTTTGTGTCCATGCCGAAATGGATTCACCTTGGTTGAAAAATTTAACCAGACCCTGATACTTTTTAAAGGAAGGCTCAGCTGCCTTTAACTCCGAATTAAAAGAAATACTAAACTAAAAATTTTTAGTTCTAATGTCAAATCAGTATTATTGTATGGGGCGGAAACATGGAGAACAACCAAGGCAATTACTAATAAATTACAGACATTCATTAACTGGTGCCTGCGCAGAATAGAGGGAATAAAATGGTATGATAGAATAACTAATGTAGAACTTTGGGAAAGAACTAAACAGGCTCCAGTGGATCAGGAGGTGAGGAAAAAACGCTGGCGTTGGATAGGGCACACACTGAGAAAACAGGAGAACACCATAACTAGAATGTCTTTGCATTGGAACCCACAGGGGCATAGGAATAAAGGAAAGCCAAAAAACACATGGAGAAGAGAGCTGGAGAATGAGGTTAGAAAGATTAGGAGGACATGGGGAGAGCTCCATGCAATGGCGAAGGATAGAACGACTTGGCGTGAGTTGGTTGAGGGCCTATGCTCCATTGGGGGATATAAAGGCAGAAGAAGAAAAAGACTGCCCGGCTCTACATCACTTGGTGGTGAACTGATGTATGACAAGTTATATATTGTGAGGGCCCTTTGGGAGTCGCAGATAGATCATTACAGTCTAAAGAGAATGGCGCTGCGAGGAGTTACCAGGGGATCTGGCCGATGCTCAATACTCAGGGGAAGGATGAGACGGATATACAATCAGACGGTTACTGGTACCATCGGAATTGGAACTCTTCCTTGCTGCTGAAGATGGGAACTGAGCACTTATGAGTGTACCGAGTGCTGTGATGTCGATTCCTAATTCAACATACCACAAATTTCAGTCTTAATGGCAGAAAAACAAGGTAGATCCTAGATACCCCGTTTAGCTAGGTGTAACGTGATGTCCTGTCCTATGCAGGTAAGGATGCAGACCATAGGTCACCCAGTTCTAAAATAAAAAAGATTTTTTTTTTTGGTTACAAAAAATATGTTATTCTTCACAACAAAAAGTTTACTATGGACGTTAAGTTTTCACTTCCGTGTCATTTAGATTTGAGGTCACAGTGACAGCATGAATGTAAAATGTGAAACAAACAACCCTTATTATTGACGTTTTTAAACAGCACGTCCTGGCTGAAGAATGATTTACTCTAGTGATGTTGTGTCCAGGTTAATACTGCTATTCGCATAGAATATGGCGCAGGGTTAAAACGTTCTTAATAAGACATTTCATTGATCTTTTTCGATATCCGAGGCGCCAGCAGTTGAGAAATAATAATATTATTAATAAGTTAACATCAATAAATACAATTGTATTTATGATAAATTTGTATCAACTTCAAGTAAATTCAAATATCTGTAACCGTCGCAAGCACACTCCACTTTTCTGTAATTTAAGTTTTTGCTGCTTACTGATCAGGAAAATTACCCGTAAACCGTTACCGCCAACTAACTTCAAGTAACCAGACTGACTACTAAACTACTTTAATATTTTATTATTTAACATGCCTCAAACGAAGTTAGAGTCTAACTTAGACTTTGTATGATGGTGGGTTACGACCCTAAGGAGGTAGTCCACCTGTCTCACGTGGAACATGCGGTTGCTGGAGCTGTAAGTGGAGCTGCAACACGAACCGTCGTTCAACCATTCGATGTGTTGAAGATTCGTTTTCAGGTAGTAGTTTTCTAATTTTTTTTTCTGTTACTGCTTTCACTTTTAAAATGGTGGTCAGCATGTGTTGTGGTGTTTACTGCTAGGATGCCCTCTCTCCACAATGAAAATATGGCCCAGGAATCCACACAGGGATTTTGGCTCTCCTTCAAACTTGTTGCCCATATTATGGCGACCAAACAAATACCCTAACACTGTTAGTAACAGGGCCTTAGTCGTGTGTAAAATGCGGAGTGCCTACCGAGGAACAAATTGCGGCAAAACTAGGATCGTCTTCGAATAACGGGCCAATATTATTATCGAGGGCAAACAAATGCTCTAACAGGGTTTCAGCGATATGTTAATTGCGGACTTGTTACTGTCCGCACCGGACAGTATCCCCCGTGGATTGGGGGCTAAACTAGATGGCTGGGACTCGAAAGCAAATAAATTGGAGGAAGTTGCAGAAGATGCGGTAGCTGCTGCTCGTGAGTCCCAGCCATCTAGTTTAGCCCCTAATCCACGCCACGCCTAGCAGCGCGGGTAAACGCAATGTGGTGAGTTTAATCGGAAGAACACTATCGCTACCTGCGTCGGAGTGCGTGGTCTCCCATGTCGCTATTGTGTGTATTGTTGCGTTTCTCGAAAGTATCAAGGGACAGTAATCCTAGTTTTGCCGCGATGCGTTCGTCGGAGAAAGTCCACATTTTACACATGACTGAGGCTCTGTTAGGGTATTTGTTTGGCCACCATAATATGGGGACGAAGTTCGAAGGAGAGCATGGATTTCTTATGATGATCACTACAATATGACTCATGAAGCAAGTTACATTGCATCGTTTCATAAAGTTGAGTATGTCTGATTTCAACAAGCGTGTTTTCACGTTTGATTTATTTACTTTACTTATTTGTATGCAAACAGTTGGTTCCTCACCTCTCAGGCAGATGCATTCCGTGTTTAGAGGAAACAACCCCAGTTGGTAAACTTCTACAACTTCTTTGTTGGTGGCAGTGGGTTTATTACCCCCCCCCCCCCCTCCTTCCACAAAAAATAGGGCCTCTGAAACGCATAGCTTTTGGGTAATTATTCTTCTTTGCGATCTTTTTCTTCTTCTTCACTTCCTCTTTTACCGCTGTGGGTGTCGAGGGACATATAAGGTTCTGTCTCTAGCTCTTCTGGCCGCCTCGACCATAGGCACATCGTGCTGTTGTAGAGTTTCTCTGATGTTATCCTTCCATCTTGTTCTTGGTCTACCTCGTGCTCTACGCCCTTCTCTTTCCATGTATGCTTTGAATGGTATGGTGTCACAAGGCATTCTCTCTAAGTGGGCAAACCATTTCACTTGCTGTCTTCGTATGTAATTTGGAATTGGTTCTGTGCCGACTTTTTCTCTTATCTCATTCCTGATCTTATCTCTTATGGTCACTCCCACAGCCCTTCTCAGACATCTGATTTCCATGGTTACTAATTTTGTTTTTTGGTTTGTTGTGAGTGACCATGTCTGGCACTGGTAGCACAGAGTTGGAATAAATATGCTTTCAATAAGATGTCTCTTTGTGCTGATTTGTATTGTCTTATGCTGTAAAAGGGGGGCTAGCTGTCCCAATACTTGGTTTGCTTTACTGCATCTGATGTTAATTTCTTTATCCAATTTCCCATCTTCGGTAAATATAGTTCCCAGATATTTAAACTCAGATGCCTGTTTAATGCCTTTGCACTCTACTGCTATGTTTAGATCTGTCTTCTTTTTTCCTATTGACATTACTTCTGTCTTTTCAGTGTTGATTCTCATATTATTTGCTTTACATTCTTCATTCATGGATGTTAGATGTTGTTGCAATTTCATGGCTGTATCTGCTATCGAGGCCTGGTCATCTGCAAAGAGTAATTCGTTGATCTTACTAACATTTTCATTTATGGGCTTGGCATTCTTGCATATACTGTTGATGTAGGTGATAAACAGCAGTGGTGATAAGACACACCCCTGTCTTACTCCAGATGTTACTGTGAATATATGTTCCCTGATTTATTCTAACTACACTTCTACAATCCCTGTATAAACTTTGCGTTCACCGGCTGTAAACTGAAACTCTAGCAGAAAGTTTTGGGTTTTCATCCATCTAAGGACTTTAGTCTTGTTTGGAAACCTGAGTGTTGCGTGCACATGTTTCACAGATCTGGCTTATTTGTATGCAGACTATTGGTTCCTTGCCTCTCAGGCATAAGTACTCCGACTTTAAATGATCCCCCAGTTAGTTGACTTCTACGACATGCTTGTGGGAGAGGCGGTGGCTGTTCTTGTTGTCCCCACAATAGGACCCTGGAGGCCACACAGGGAATTGGAACCTGCAAGTTCCAGTGCTACAACAGATGGAGACAAGGAGGTCACTACAGGTTTTAACTCTTTCAATCTCAGTAGGTCACAGTCATTGGAGCCAGAACCTGGGGCTCAGCCCCCCCCCCCCCCCCCCCCACCCATTCTGAGGTTCAGTTCCAGCTGTGGGTGATTTGGCAGCAGACTACCTTTTTTAGATTTTGACAATGGTATCTGAAGCCATCTGTTCGGAAAGCAATGACAAACTACTGAATTTAAAATTGTGAGTAAAACCAAACAATGCTAGTTTTGGTTCTGTAACATCCTGTAAAGAATACACAGTTAACTTTTTTCCTATATTCCTTTAATAGCTTCAAGTGGAGCCAGTGCGAGCAGCTGCAGGATCAAAGTATCATGGCATGCTGCAAGCAATTAACTGTATTGTGAGAGATGAGGGAGTAAAGGCACTGTGGAAGGGCCATATTCCAGCTCAAGTATTATCTGTTCTTTATGGAATATCACAAGTGTGTATGTTTTTGGCCTAATATATTTTTAAAACAATATGTTGTTGCTGATATAACTTATTGATTAGTGGTTGGTTGTTCTATAATTTGCCTGGGACCATTTGTTAATGCTCAGGTTATCTTCTTCTTCTTCTTCACGTTCACCGGCTGTAAACTCCGTTGGAAAGTTCTAGTTGTTTGTCCACCTATGGACTGCAGTCCTGTTCCAGAACCTGAGTGTTATGTGTGTATCTGTTTGACAGATCTGACTAATTTGTATGCAGACTGCTGGTTCCTTGCCTCTCAGGCAGATACACTCCGACTTCGAAGAAAGCTCCCAATTAGTCGACTCATACGTCATGCTTTTGGGTAGGCAGTGGGTTTGTTCTTGTTTTCCCTATAATAGGGCCCTGGAACCCACACGGCCTATCTATCAAGCGTGTCTTAAGAGTCGACTAATTAGGAGTTTCCTTCAAAGGCAGATTATATCTTCCTGAGAGGCAAGGAACCAACAGTCAGCATACAAATAAGCTAGATCTGTAAAATTAAAGTACTGGAACAAAACCAGAGTTCAGAGCTGAAGGGACAGCCGGAACTTTCTGCCACAATTTAAGACCGGGGAACGCGAAGAAGAAGAAGAAGAGGTTCTCCACAATGAAGGTTGGCCACAGTGGATCTCCAACACTCTCTGATACGCAGCCAGTTTGTACACTCTTTCAGACTGCTGTTGATCCATCTCCTGATATTATCTTTCCAGCTTTATTACTGTCCACTTCTTGGTTGCTTGCCCTCAGCTTGTCCCTCCAGTATATTTTTGATAAGAGTAAAATGCCTTTTAATGTGACTTAACTATCTCATTTGTCTCTATTTTATTTCTTTAAAAACTGTTTTTTCTCAGTCTTTTTCAAAGCAGTAAAGCTCATACATCTGACTGGAATGCGTCATAGTTTCTACATATAATAAATGACTGGAAATATTCCCTATGTGGGTTTCAAGACCCCATTGTGGGGTAAAAAGATTATTACCCCCCCCCCCCCCTTCCCTTCCCTCCCCACATACACACACACATACAAACGTTTAAAAAAATTATTAGAGTACTGGAATCTGATTGTTGTGCCAAAAGATACATAAATCGCACCCTAGATGTACACCATAACACAGCATATCAAATTCTTTTTTTAAGAGCAGTGCAGAAGAAGAAGACTGGCTATATTATAATAAACCTTAAATATGTATTGACAAAATCAAATAAAATGCAAATGCCAGCTTCTAAATAGTAATGCCTTCGTAGTAAATGGCTAGACAGATTATAAATAACTTGAAGAATGTTGAATTAAGAATCGACATCTTAGCACTCGGGAAACTCCCATAAGTGCTTCTTCACCATCTTCAGCAGCAAGCAAAGAGTTCGAATTCTGATGGTACCAGTAACTATTTGATTGTACATCCAAATAACTGGAAGGAAAGATGTTGATGGAATGACTAAGTATATATTTCCTAGATTCGAAATGTAGTAATCGGCACGATAAATACTCTGTCGTGGCTACTATGATGACCGAAAATGTTGATATGTTTGGCATTTAAAAATTCTCCAGTATGGCACCTTTGAAATTCTGACCGAAGAAGTTTGGCATTATCTTCCTGCAACCTTGACAACAACATATCGACCTTTAACCCATTCTGTGTGTGGAGGACTTAGTGGATGTATTTCCACGGTCGTTATCCATCCTGTAGATGTCATCAGAACTCGTTTTGTAGCGCAGGGAGAACCTAAGGTATGTTTATGTGTAGTTAAAATTATTCACACATTTTGTTGGTTCTGGCAGTTCTGAAACATGTTTGTTACCAGAGCACTTAATGGAAGTACAAAAAAGATATTAACACTGTAATCTTCCATGCATGTCATAGGAGGCAGCTGTGGATAATTGGCATATCATTGGCTATTTCTTTCACTAGAAAACTTTAGCTGTAAAATTCAGCCAGTCGTAAATGAATCTGCAAAAGTATTGATGTGATTGAGTTGAGTGTTTGTGCTCCATGCATGCAAGAGAAGAAGAATATGTGAAAGCTGTTGCTCAATTTGTTGCTGTATGCATTGCTAGCTTGCGGGAATATGAGGGGTGTTCAGAAAGTAATGCATTACATTTTTTTTCAGGAGCTGTTATTTAAAAAGTATGAAACTTATGCTCAGCATACATAGATATGTCATGTAAACATCATTGTAATTCACTGTAATCCTCGTCAAGTTGTACAGCTTTATGCCAGCAAAACAAATGGAGTATGTCACAATTTGCTGTTTAAGTGTACAAAATGTCATGCTTCTGTCTTCATTATTAGCTGAGAATAACGATGTGGCACATTACTTTCTGAACCCCCCACCCACCCACCCTCGTACAGATAATTAGTTCCTATCCTGTTGCTCATTCTACCAGGTAACATGACATTTTTTTAAAATTTACTTTATTCAAGATGTGCTTCTTTCAATGTCTTCTCTCTCGCTCTCCCATCTAATGTGGAAACCGGTCTTTTACTTTGGCATGTTAGGTTGTTGTTGGCAGTTAGGCTGTGATATCTGCACCTTTCTGCATCCAGTTTCTGCTAGTTCTTAGTTATTAACCTATCACAACAGGCTTGTTAAGGAGCAGTGGGTCTCTCCCCCCCCCCCCCCCCCCCCTCCCCTAGATTGAGGCTTTAGACCCTCAGGGAGTTCTTTGTTAACATTAAGTAAATTTACTTTTCAAATGAGAGAATAAGCTGCTTCATAGTGCTCTACATGTGAAGTATAGAGAAGGCTTATAGGGTCTGCATGGATTATTTTACAGGGCAAACACTGTGGGGATATCAGAAACATCAAGCTGCCTGTTTTTTTCTAACTTTTTTTTTTGATACCAGCTTATGATTACATAAACTCCTATACACAAAAGGTTGTCGTTAGAGTAGCCAGTGTTTCTGTCCCAAGTTGTGAAAATAAGACTGTTATCAGACAGAAGAATACAGACTAAACTTTGTATATACATTTTTTCGCTCGCTACCTGTAAACTCCATGGAAAAGTCCTGGTTGTGTGTCTACTTCTGAAATAGAATCCACAGATGCTGTCCTACTTTGAAAGAAATGTCGGCCCTACCTATATTACCAAGGCCCCCCCCCACACAAAATGGGAGCCGGTTTCTAGGATGACCGTGGAGAGGTGCAGATGGTCTTGATGAATATGAGCCCCGTTCCAGGTGCACCACCATGTTCACAGAGAAATCAAGAGTCTGCCTACAAATAAGCCAGATGTGTCAAATTGTAGTGCACACAAAACTCAAGTTCTGGAATGAGTCTGAAGTCCAGAGGTGGATAAACAACCAGAACTTTCCACCGGAGCCCGTGAACCTGAAGAAGAAGAATAGACCCACTGCCACCCCAACATTTCGTAAGAGTTGCCTAATTGGGGACATTCTTCGAAGTCAGATTACATTTGCATAAGGAGCTAGGACAAAGGGTCTGATACAAATGAGCCAGATCTGTGTAATGGATGTGCACACGACACTCAGGTTCTGAAAGAAGACTAATGTCTATAGGTGGACGAACACCTAAAACTTAACCTCCAGAGTTTAAAGCCCATGAATGCAAAGTAAAGAAGAAGAAATTATAGAAAGGAATCTGTAAAAATTTAGAGGTTGTCGTGAAAGGATCAAACCACAATTTGTTTAAACTGTGCACTAGCATAAATTCTAATTCATAAAATTGCTTATTAATTAGTAGTGAAGTTGAACACTATATGTTTTAAATATTTTCAGATTTACAGCAGCCTAACTTCGGCCGTGCAGACTATCATGAGAGAAGAAGGAGTGCGAGGTTTTTACCGTGGGATACTGCCTGCAGCGGCTCAGATTGGCCCTCAGATGGGATTTCAGTTTGGGCTCTATGCAGCCTTCATTCAGCTTTGGAATAGTTCTCTTGGGCTCTGGCCAACAACTCCACCTGGTAATGTTTATTCACCCAAGGTTGCTTGTTTTTTTTTAAAATAGCGTAGGTCAGAGGTTAGTAAGCTCGTCTCACAATTCTTGGCATACAGTGGTTCAATTTCCATGGCGAATGATTCCTTTTTGTGGCTTTCAAAAAGTGATACTTCTGCATTCGCCCTCTAAAACAAAAAGGCGGCTGGTATGTTGTGGTTTACAACTAGGCTGCAATATCTACACCTTTCAGCCCAACATATCTGATTTTAGCAAACCCTTAACCTTTTACAGCTTGCTTGTAAAGGGATAGTTGCTCATTTCTTTGTGGGTATTTTTAACCCCATCAAGCCTCATCTGAAGTACACTGCTACAAGAATCACATCAGAACAGATCTTAGGTTCTCACCACATAAAATTCCTAAAGATATTAAAGAAACACATAATTATTAAATTAGAGGACGTGTGTACCAAGAGAGAGTCTCTGTAGTTTAGGGGGTTAGTGGATGCATTTAACAATTTAACAGTCTACCAGGGTTTGATATCCACACCAGGGACTGTTAAAAAAAAGATTCCTGTAGCTTTAAAACAACAATCCCCGAGTGGTTTGTACAACTAACAATAGGATGCAGCAAGCCTTATCAGTGTAAGAGGAATGGTCAAAAGCTTGGCTAATAAATATTATTGAAGAGAAAACAACGTATACTGTGTTCTCGCTCTCAGATAAAAAACAGCCATTTAAGGAAAATGGGTTATAAAACTACAGTGGACGTAGAAGTCCGCTGCAGTAAAGGTCCAACATGCACAAGAAGCAAAGTACTCATTTTATTTAAGAATTCAAAGCTCCAGGTCTGCCTAATATTGGCTTTGAAATACATAGCCCATGATGTATGAGATGTTCAATATATGGAAGTGAGGTTAAACAGTCATGAGCAGGATGTGACGATTCCCTGGATGAGCCCAGTACCAGAGACCTATGTATTGGCTCTGCATTTATGGAAGCCTCCTTGGATGTCAGGAAATACTCATGTTCTGTCCCTGCCTTCTCCTGGGTGCTGATCAGCATTACGTGGCATCTCTGGACCAGCCTTATGTGGGGAACCACCTCTGACCTGGGATGAGTGGGATGGCTGAAAGTTTGCAACATTTGTCTTTTAACTTACACAGGTCTGGTTCACTTCACATGGACTAATCAAAATTCAACAAAATAAAGTGTGTGGTGTACTCCCCCTTGATCCTAGTATAATGGATTAGCCATCTCTTCTTGGTCTAGGAGAGTCTGCCTGTATGCTAAAAATGTCTTGCCTGAAAAGATCAGACTGAATAGGTTGCTACAAAGGCTAACTTTCGTTGCTTAAAAAAGAAAGAAAAGAAAAAATTGTGTGCCATCTCAACGATGATGATTGGCTATGGTGCATCCGCATCCTTGGTAATATTATATAGTGATGCTGCAGTATCTTCCACAGTGCGATCATGGTGTTCCAATCCATTTAGAGCCAGATGTTTTGCAAACATGATCTTGGCCCCCAGATAGACCCAGTCTCAAATGAGTACCAGATAAAGTCCTGGGAAGTAAAGGCAGCTGGTGTGAGTTGACCACATCACCCATTGAGTGCTGATTGGTCTATAAAAATATAAGTCTAGCCTCATATGGCCATTGCACCACTAACTTGTGAAGGGATTTTTACTTCTATTCATGGCCTTGGCTATTCTGTCTATCCACGTCTTGTGTGAGCAACCTCTAGTTCTGCTTCCATTGTGACTAGGGCTCTCTGTGGTACACTGTCATATTAGTAGTCTGACCCATCTGTTATCTCTTGATGTCATTTAGTACTGGCTCTGTCCTGACTGGAAACTGGTTAGTTGCGTATCGTTTACAGGATGTTGCAGAACCAACCCCAGCAGCCCCTGGCTGTTGTGTGGTTTCTGTAGGCAAATTTATGTCCAGTAGTTTCTGGACGGTCGGCCCCCTGATACCACTGTCGAAACCAACGCAAGGCGCTTGGCCCACAGCTGGGATCGAACCCGGCACCCCTGCATTACAAAGTGTTCACATCGACTTAGCCACAGAGACGACGAACTACTTTAATTAAAATGTTTAAAACTTATTTCGTAGCTTTTATCTAGTTGTGTTATCAGATACAGACATTCATTGGGTAAATTTGCACTTTCAGAATCTTTGCAGAGCTTGATATGTGGTTCTGGATCCGGCCTTATTGCCAAACTGCTAGTCTATCCCCTTGATGTTGTCAAGAAACGGTTACAGGTCCAGGGTTTTGAAAAAGCTCGCCAGACTTTTGGTGCTGTGAGGAAATACAGAGGTCTCTTTCACTGCTTTCAAGTTTCATTACGTGAAGAAGGGATGGCTTGTTTATTTAAAGGTCTAGGGCCGAGTTTAATAAAGGCCTCTTTAGTGGCAGGTGCTAATTACTGTATATATGAACAGGTGTGTAGAGCTCTCATTTATCGCCATCAGAGGTGACCTTATAAAGGGTTTTAGACATCATATTTATTAGATTTATATACGTTTGATATACTCAGTGTGTATGAGGAAAGAGAGAAGTGTGAGTAATATGTGTATATATATAAATTAACACAAGAGAAAGATTTCCCTTCTGCTGTGAATGTGGTGTAGAGTTTTATTCACTTTACTGAAATGGCATTCAAGTGGTTGATCAGAAAAAAGAGTGGTAGATGGACGTTAAAGGGGAGGAGGGTATAGAAGAAATTTTTTATTAATTTTTTTAAACATACACCAGGTGTTTTTTCCTGTGGAGTTAAAGTGATGCGGTTTTATTTAGATTTCTAGAATAGAATTTAGTGAAGGTTTGTGATTAGTTTTATATGATTGCAACTACTTTTGCAGAAGTTGCAGTACAAAGTAGATGATACTAGGCGCATTCAGAGCTCGTAATTTTTTAAACTTTTTTAAAACTTGGTCGATTCTCTTCTGCCCTGGGTGTAAAGGTTTGCCAGGGAGATCAGCAGTTATCTTTTTGGCCTTATTCCATTCCAATCCTCTGTCAGATGTTGTCTTCACAATAAACTTGGATTGCTCTGAATCTTGGCCAGCTCATGTTTTGCTGTAAACCTTTCTACAATTGAAGAGATATAAATTTTATTTATATTTTTAATCATCATCATGTGCCCTGCTAGTTTGTGGGGAAAACAAGAACAGTGCCTCCACCCAAGCATGTTGTAGGAGTTGACTAATTGGGGGCTTCCTTCGAAGTCGGAGTGCATCTTCCGAGCTGCAAGGAAACAACCAACTGCACACAAAGAAGCCAGTAAGAAAAGCCGGGACTTTCAGCAGCTGAACAAAGAAGAAGAATTATTCCACTGATGAAATGCCTCCATGCCATTGCTTAAGACCATCAAGCATCGCTTCTCTTGGTATGCCTCGTCTGCTGTTGATATTTCCAGTCATCACAGTGTTCTCTCTTCTCATCACACGACTGCCTTTCTTATAGTTGTATATACAGTAAAACCTAATGAACACAAATTCCAAGGGTCAGAAAAGTCAACATATTTCTTTCTAACCAGGTACTAAGAGATCTGTTAAGAATAAAACAGCCATGCTAGGACCACAATTTTGTTCATGATAACCAAGTGTTTGTCTTCCAGCATTCATGTTAATGAGGTTCTACTGTAGTTTTCTAATTTTATTAGCCATTTCAGACAGTCGTTAGTTAGTCTGACTCTTCTAATTTGCACTGCATGAGTCTCAGAAACGGCCTCCAAATTCTTTGTAATTTGTTTATGTGCATTCTAAGACTCATAGCCATACAGCATGAGAGAGACCTGTTGTATCCCTAACAACATGAGAGAGACATGTTGCATAAAAGAGTTCATCTTTTTTTAAATAGCATCTTTGCCTGGCACACCCTGCTCTTAATCTCTGTTGCACTTATTCCATCAGATCTTATAACTGTCCTCAAGTTTTTTTTTCAACTTGACCTTCTTAAACACTTTGCCAGCGTAAAACACATTACCCACCTGGTGCTGATTGGTCTGTAAAAATATGCGTGCACTTCCCATATGCCTGATGCGCCTAAAGGGATGCGTTTACTTTTACTTCTAAAACACTTTGCTTTCTATTGTAAGATGATCTGTTTGTATTTCTTTCTTCGTTATTATAACCTTAGTTTCTGCCTTCTTGATATTTTTATATGACAGACATTTAAAAAAATGTGCTGGCCAGAAGTCATTACCCCAGACCATGGAGGATTAGCAAGGCAAAGTAAACTAAACACAAAGCTCATATTTGTACTAAATGTGCATTTATTTCTACAATGGGATTTTACGCAGTATACAGCTAGTTCTTTTGATAAATATAACCCTGGATTAAATTACTGTTTTAACTTCATCTTAAATATGGTTGAAATGTACTTTATTATTTTTCTTCCATGACAGAAATGTTTTAATAATTAATATTTCATCACTAATTTGATTTTTAGCTCTTTTTACTTGAAAGTAAAGAATATCATCAGATGTAAATGCTTTTTGTGCTGTTTTGTTTGTGTAGGTAATTATCTGAAATGGCATAGGTAATTATCTGAAATGGCAATCAGAAATGAAATTTAAACAGCAGACTTCATAACTGAGAATTGTATCTTTGCAGCTTGTAGGCCTAGTTATATATATCAGCCTTTAAAAGTGTATTGTAGCTCCCTTTAGTAAAACATGCTTTGTAGCCACATTTGTATAATCTCCAGAAGTTAGTGTTCTACATCTGAAATGAAATGGATGAAAAACATGTTGCCAAAAAGGAAATTTCAACCTGACAGTAGCACTGTCATTGAGTTGGTTGATATATTTATCAGACAGGCAGACAGTTTTATGAGCTGTAGACCTGATAAGCATTGTATTGAATCTGTTAGAATGGAGCTCCTTCAGTCACTTGTCTGTGTTGCACAGCATCACGAAGGTGATATTTCCTCGACGGTTGTACTTGGTTTGTTTGTTGGTCAAAAATTTAACACCATGAGGACTCACCAGTGATGCAAGTGGTGCTGTTTGTAAAGTCCACCATGCCCTGTGTCGATTCTAGGCACTTTTCTCTTCATTCTTTGTTTCATGACCATCTAGTCACCTAGTTTTTCTAACATCCTTTTTTTTTTAAAAATGTCTGGTGTAAATTCCAATATAAATTTTTGGAGAAATTACAGATGAAACCAGTGTTGATTTACAACAATGAACTAAATAAAATAAGACTAAAACACCACTCACTGAGTGCCAATTGATCTATTAAAAATACATGGTTCTAGGACCACATTCCTGATTTGCCAGTGGCACATGGATCCTTTACCTTCTGCCCTATATTCCTCAATGGAGCACAAACTGTCGACCAATGTATGCCAGGTTACCCTATCCTTTGCTATTGCATGTAGCTCGTATCATCTTTGTCACTTTTCTCCAGCTCCCCTCTCCAATATTTTTATGCCTCTGTGTATTCCAGTGCTAAGACATTCTAGTTATAATGCTCTCAGTGGCGCGGTGATTTCGTCACAGATGCGTATGTTATCCAACACCGGCTTATTTTCTTCACCTCTCAAATATATGAGTGCTTTACTTAAAACACTGCTGAAGGTGGAGGATACTGTTCTTCACATTCACTGAGTTCACCCATTGCAAAGTTCTGGTTGTTCATCTACTTCTGGAACCTGAGTTTTAAGCACACATCCAACTTATTTTTAGGGAAGCTTTTGGTTCCTTGCCTCTCATGCAGATGCACTCCGACTTCAAGCCCAGCGCAGGTACATGCTTCTTGGTACATTGTAGATAAGTGCCAACATAGCTGAACACAAGGAACGCCTAAGACGTTAATAGACTAAACATCAGAATGTTTAAGCATTGAGGCTCAGCTACTAAGCAGCTAACATTAGCTTAGTGAAAAGCAGCTTAAACTATGGAAAATCTGCTCCCAACACCCTCTCAGTGATGAGAATAACCTAAACCAAGGAGACAACGGTTAAAAACAGCACAAACTAGCCAAAACTCCTGCATAATGGCTTAAATTTTATTTAATAATTAGTAATAACAGCATGTTCTCAAGATGCTTCTTGATTCCTTCAACATTTGGTTTACAAAAGGTATAGCTATTGCAGCCTAGCTACATGCCAACCATCCTTTTAAGGCAAACATATAAAAAAGAAAACACTAGATCTCAGGTAAATACCTGAGAACCATTGGTAGATTTTTTTTAAGCTGATTCACGATATGTACAACAAAATTTAACTTATTGAAATGCATACTGTTGTAGTAGTCTGCACTTCTTTAAAGGCAGTATACATCTCTCTATACTAGGGCTATTCAGCTAAGTTAACTGAGGGGCCAAGATGATGGAAATTTGGATCTTCAGAGTCCAGAAGTCCCAGTCCCAGCATAGAAAGATCATTAACACAGTACAGCTGGCAAGCATCCCTGGGCCACTTGCCAGGCTTCTGCGGGCCAGATTTTGCCAGTGGAATAGCCCTGCCCTTTACTATTAATCTGCCACTGCATTTATATCATGAAATGTAATAGTTCACCACATGTACACCAGTGAGTACAGACAGAAGCATAATAAAATGAGACTGACAGTCATACAGGATGATTTTTTGAAGTGTTAAATGCTAAGTGGGATATTTACATGTTTGACAGACATGATAAAAATCATCACATCAAGTGCCATGGCCGACTGGTGTCGGGAAAACATGCCTCTCCGTAATCTGTAACTGCATGTACTGAGATTTGTTGAAACCCCTTAATGACAAAATGCTGTTAAGAATCTTCTCACTTTTTCTCTCTTTTGACAGATCTTTCCTGTGGTCACACCATGTTCCAGTTTCCTTCTCATAACTCAACCTAACATTGGTGACTGTCTCTTTCATAGAAATACAAATATCAAAAATTGAACTTTCAAAGAAAAACAATGACAGAATAATGAAATAATAGCTGCAAATAAAACAGCATTAACAATATAAACTTTAAAAATAATACCCGCTGAATATTTCAATTCTGCTGTTGACAATTTGCTGCATAATACAATAGAAAAGCACATATGATTTTGACAATGTCTCAGGAAAGTATCCTAAAAAAAAACCACAATGACATTATAAGGAAGAAAAAACATAGCTGTTAATAAAATAGCAGAACAATTTAAACATAATTCTCTATATTACAAAATAAAGTAACCAAAAAAATGCAGAATTTCACACTCCTTTTCACTGTAACATGAGACCAACACATGCTAATACAGTGCAGATCTGATAAGAAGAAAGACAGGACCCAAGAAATGGTTTTTCTTATCAGAAATTCCTCTCATCAGGTCAAGAGTTCAAGCAAGAAACATTGCAGGGGAAAAACAATTTGTTTTTTTCTTCACAGCAGAAATTTACAGCATCTGAGATCGACCTAAGCTGTCTGTGCATGCCTACCATTCTTTTATGGGCAAAGGCAGAAGAACAAAAATAAGAATTAATTACAAAACCGTGCATGTGCTGCAGGGTAGACAAAAACAATCACAATCTACAAGTGAAGTATCATGAAAAGAAAAACTTAATGTGAGACATACATCACTAAATGGTTCTGATATGAATCCGCTGTTACAAATTTCAGTCTCGCATTTCCATTGGAATGAAGCCTCGAGCAGGGAGAGTGGACTTGTCCAAGTCTGAAAAATATTTGTGTTCCAATATGTCCTTGGCTGGTATTCTCTGGGCTGGGTCATAGGTCAGCATATCCTAAGGGGACAAAAATATGCCAGTCAAAACATTACTTTCACAATCCTTGTAGGTAAGTAAATAAATAAATATTTAAAATCATCAGAAACTAAGGGTAGAGATTAATCTAAATAGGGACAACTAGATGTGTGATTTTGACAGGACCTTAACGCAACACATAGGGTTATAATCCAGTTACATAAAGCATTTGTGTGCATTTGAGGCTAAATAAATACAGCTTGAACACGGCTTTGTGCCTCCCTGAGACCGAAAGTGACCTTTAGAACTGGGTTCTTCAACATGTAATCTGTTTAAATCTGGGTCACCAACAATCATTTCTCTGAAAATAAGGATACTCCTAAAATTAACCTCTGGATTAATAAACCCCTCTTAGAAGATTAACATCATGCATTTTTGATCAATACAGAAAGAAAAAAGCTGATTAAGTTATCTTCATATGTGCCATGTGGACTGGCACCTGAGACAACAGATCACATCCTCTAGGACTGTCCCAAATACATTTCCAGGCAAAACTTCTGGCCAAGAAAGACACTGGTGAAGCCCAACTTTACGGTCCGCAAAAAAAAAAATTATACTAGAGACAGCCTTGCAGATATAGATAATTTATTTCAAGCGAACAAAATAAAAAGATCTTATGTCACTAGTGTCGACATAAAATGCAATCATTGTTTCAGTTCTGGATATCACTTGAAAAATAATATACATCTTTGAGTTAAACAGTGATCAGTTTGTTGTTCATTTTGTGTGAAATAACTTACTTACCATGTCAGTAGTAATAACCAAACAGCAATTAAAGGGATGGTATTACAGTGCTTTGACTATCAGAAACAACACTTCAGCCACCTGTGTCACCAGCAGCTTGAAACTGCAGTCTTGAGACATCAAATTTAACACACAAAAACAAAAACTGCATTTGTTGTGTTTCTGATTTAGGTTAGCAGAACAAAGTTCCCTTTTTGCCAGTCCAAGGGTATAAAAGGGTTGAAGCGGAAAGGCTTTACTGGGCAACAAATGCCTGCAGAAATCAGACGTATCCTTTAAAAGGCGCAAATATCACAGCCATGTTGTAAAGGGGCACAGTGCATTTACATCTTCAGAAGGAGAAGAAAAAGTTGAAGATCGCCGCTTCAGTTTAAACTCCAACAAAACACGACCAGTAAATACTAGTCATGGTATAGTGACTTACGAATAGTATAGCAACACGCCTACAAATGTAATAGTAGTGAATGATGCATGTATGATACCAGGGTCCATAACCAAACAAGAACAGTATAACTGATCCACCAGGATGTTGTGAGAGGTGACTAAGGAGAGCTGGAGTGTGGCTAGTTATCTCATTCTGTAGAAAACTTCAATGGTACCAAGGTATACGTTTACTGAGGTATTCATTCAACTTAGTATACATTCTGATTAGATGGGGAACAAACTAGTGCTTGGTATATGACATCTGGAGTATTAATTTGTATGAGCCAAAACTAATGACGACACTGCAGGTTACCTTGATTTATTTCTCTGGAGACAAAGCTACAGATAGATGTAACTGACTGCAGACTATGGCACATTTATGAAACATCTTGAAGAGAAGGCAGAAGCTAAGTCCTTTAAGCAGGTTTCTAGTAAAAGTCAAATCTGATGAGACTAAACCAGGACTAGGTAGCAAAAAGAGGTAATAAAAAAAAATCCTGAAGATTCATTGGAAGGGGACTCTCGATCCTAACAATAACTCCTCCCTTCTCAGCGCAATCCTAGTAGGCATTTGACTCTTCTCAGCAAGGTTACATGGGGGTAAATTTTTATCTAACTGCTTTTGTGTTTAAATATTAGGCAGTAAATAGATTATCTGGCCAAGATGGTGGCGTAAACAACGTTCGCCGAAAATTGTGACTAAAAGATATGTTTATTCCTGGAAAGAATGTTAAATGTGTTAGAGTAGTGTAGTTGTTCAGTTGAAGATGAATTCGCGACAGGCCCGGCAAGTCGGCGGAGGATTCAGCGGTTCAAAAAGAAATGCCCAAGATGAAAATAGGAGATGTTTTAGAAATAGGGAAAATAGAGGCCAGCAGAAGGTTAAGACCAGGGTAGGGACAATCAATATATGTGGATGGGGCAATAAAGAAGAACAAGTGATCGAATTAATGGAGAAATATAATGTTAAAGTATTAGGCTTATCAGAAGTGAGAATGAAAGGACGAGGAATGAAGAAACTACATAAAAATTACGTTTTGATACAATCGGGAGTAGAGGAAATGCAACGTGCGAAGCATGGAGTGGGATTTGTCATCGATCCCGAAACTGCAAAAAATATACTCGAGGTTAACTACATCTCGGAAAGAATTTTAAGCTTGAAATTACAAGTAGGAAATAGTTCGAATGTTTTGTTTTTCAAATATGTGCTACGTGCAATGGAGATTACACTCAGGAGGATTTAGATCAATTCTTTGAGGACCTGGATGTCGAAATTTGTAAGATAGATATTAACGAGAAACTGATCGTGATGGGTGATTTTAACGGTAAGACAGGACGAGACAGAAGAACATTCACAAGATACCTAGGCAATTATGGAGACAACAGCATTAAAAATGAAAATGGCGAAAGACTGTTGGATATATGTACACAACATGACCTTGTTATTACCAACACCTTTTTTCAACATAGAGCTTCACAAGTTTTTACATGGTATAAATGGAATGATCCAGATACCAAGAGTCAGATTGATTACATCTTGACGAGAGAGACTTTCGTCAAGTTACAGATGCAAGAGTTATACCAAACTTGAGTTTAGATACAGATCATAGGATGGTGATCCTTGACAGAAAAATCAAGATAAGTTATCAAACCAAAAAGAAATGTAATAAAAGTGACATAATAAAATGGAAAGAACTAGAGTGTGAAGAAAACAGGCGAGCGTTTCAGCAAAAATTACAGGAAAATTATGAACAGCTTCCACAAAACACTCTTGGGGTAAATACAGAATGGTTGAATTTCAGAGACACCACTATGAAAATAGCACAAGAAATATGTGGAACTAAAAGGAAAGGTAACATAGGGCGTAAGCTCTCAACATGGTGGTCTGAAGAAATAAGAAGTATTGTGAGCAGTAAAAAGAAAGCTTATGGCATTTGGTTGAGGAGCAGAACAGAAGAGGATTACATAACATACAGGAAAATTAGAAGAGAAGTAAATAGAACTATCAGAAAAGCAAAAAGAGATTCATGGGAAAAGTTTGGAAGCAAGCTGGCTGAAGAAGAAAGATCAGCAGTGAAAAACTACTACAAAAAAATCAAAGGCATGAGAAACAGGAATGAAGAATACAACCCAACAGAAATTATAAATGATGAAGTTGGCCAACCTTTAATAGAACCTACTAAAATCTTAGCAAGGTGGAGTAATTACTTTGAAGCATTACTTAGCTGCAATAAAACAGATAAAAGCAGGGAAGAACATAAAAACAACTCGGAACTAACAGCAGAGGAACTAGAACCAGGTATATTATTGGATGAAGTAAAATATGTCATTCGAACCGCGCCTAGACTAAAGGCGACAGGTATTGATGATCTACCAGCTGAGGCCATCAAGGCAGCAGGAGAAACGGGAGCAATATGGTTAAAGAGAATATTTCAGGTGGCATGGGAAAATCAAGAAACACCATCAGATTGGCAAACTGCTGTCATTGTCCCGCTGTGGAAAAATAAAGGAAGTAAGAGGGAATGTACTAATTACAGAGGAATATCACTTCTCAGTCACACTGGGAAAATGTATGCTAAGATCATCGAAAAAAGGCTGAGACCATTGATAGAGTATCAACTTTCAGAAGCACAGATGGGCTTTCGACGAAACAGAAGTTGCACAGATGCCATTTATACATTGAGACAACTATCAGAGAGGGCAATAGAACATGATAAGACATGTTTGTTGACATTCATAGACCAAGAAAAAGCCTTCGATAGAGTCGACAGGAATATGTTGTGGGAATGTATGGGGAAAAAAGGAATCAGCAATCATCTCATTAATATTTGCAAAAGCCTGTACACACGTAGTGAATGCTGCATAAGATCAAAGGCAGGGTTGTCTAGAACTTTTATAGTGAACTCTGGTGTGCGTCAGGGCTGTGTACTATCGCCGCTTCTTTTCATAACATACATGGACGCCATATGTAGCGAAACAGACTTTAATCAGGAAGAAGATATAACAGAATTACTTTTCGCCGACGACCAGGTACTCATAGCAGAAAATATGGAATGCCTACAGAACCACCTAAATCAAATTAGTAACAAAGGGGAGGAATATAATATGAAAATAAACACTACGAAGACAGAGACAATGATGATAGGAAGACATAAAGACAATTTAGAAATTAAATTAAAAAACAACACCCTGAGACAAACAGAGGAATTTAAGTATTTGGGAGCAATTTTTACTTCAGACGGAAAACTGGACAGAGAAATTAGCTCCAGATGTGCCAAAGCTAATCAAGTAATGGGCCAACTATCTCCCCTGTTGACACACAAGCAGATACCTCAGAGTACTAAAGTGAATCTTATCAGAACTATTTTTTGGCCAATACTATGCTATCAGTGCCAAACGTGGACACTTACATCCTCCAATGAACGTAAAATTGTGACAACAGAGATGAAATGCCTTAGAAGAGCTGCAGGAGTTTCAAGGAAAGACAGAATACAAAATCATGAAATCAGACGAATGCTAGGAATAAAGCCAGTCTTACAGGTCATCAAAGAACAACAAATGAAATGGTTTGGACACCTAACAAGAATGCCCTGGTACTATCTGCCACAGCGAGCCACACTAAAACGTTACAACGGGTATAAAGCGAGTGGAAGACCTCGGAAAAGATGGAGTGATGGCATTAAGAACAGCCTTACAGAAATGAACATCAGTCTTAATAGTGCTCTTGACAGAGCTCATCAACGAACATTACATCTCCCCCCGACACTTCGATGAGGTACAAGGTGGAAGAGAAGAAGAAGAAGAAGAAGAAGAAATAGATTATTTTATACAACCCCATCGATGTATAATATAAGTAAAGTAAAGGACCCTTTTCCACGCCTTTCAGGCGTGTAGTGTATATAGGGCCAGACATATATTTTATAGACCAACGGGCACAAGATGGGTGACGTGGTCAGCATCACGCCGGCCACCTTCACTTCCCAGGACTGCGCCCAGTACCCACCGACCTGGGAGCCAGGGTCGTTTAAAAAAAAAAGTCCAGCTCCGCCAGGGAGCAAACCCACCACCTTCAGATCTGCAGGCGAGTGTCTAGCAGCTAAGCTATGTATAATATAGCAAAGATTTTAAATACTTCTGCCTTGATTTCTTATGATAAAATTTGTTTGGTATACGCACTATTTGATATATGTCCAAGGATTAGGAACGGATTAATTACGTATAATGACCACTGTAGCTGTAAAATAATCCAACTATTATATACAAGTCTACACAGATTTTGAGGGCCAATGCTTTGGTGGAAGATAACAGACAAGAAGAAAAGAATGATTGAGCAATGGAAACACAAATCAAGTGGTGTGCCCATGTGTTTCCAGGAATCTGATACAGATTAGTAACTATTTGGCTGAAGTTGGATGTGTTATGCAAAAATACGCAGATATCATAGTCTAGCTGTAAACCATAACATGTCTATACAAAAGCTAGACTAAAAAGAAAGTGGTAGGTTATGCTAAAAAGATACATTCTACCAAGGGTAAGCTAAACACAAACATCATAGCTTTGACAGCGCCGGATCTAAATTTTAAATATAGCCAAAATGAGTAGAAGAGGATTGACTTTAATGCGCCAGGTTTTATCCTACATGGCTCAGTCTCTCTCTCTCTGCAGGATGACTAGCTAGCTGGTGAGAGTGTCGCACAAACTCCATAGCTTCCGTGATCTCTGTACAAACTGCACTAAAAATTGAACAATGTGTCCTAAGGTTAACTTCTTACTGCATATATGGATTCTTTTTTCCTAGTGTTCACGGCTGTAAACTTAGGTGGACTGGAAAGTTTTGGTCCTTCATCTACTTCTGGTCTTGCTCTTCAGCTTGAGTTTAGCGTGCACAACCGTTTTACATATCCGGATTATTTATATGCACACTGCTCCTCCCATGCAGACACACTTCAGCTTTGAATTATGCACCCCTAACTGATCATCGTTTATCGCATGCTTGTTAGGTGGCTGTGGGTCCCCCATAGGGTCCCCAGAAGCCACACTAGTATCATTTGGATTCGGGCACTGTTCATATTGAGATTATAGACAGTCAGAGAACAGAAAAAAAAATGCACATATTTTCCATAAAGACAGAAATGACAGCAGTTGGTAAATGGTAGATCACAGTACATACTTGCAACAACTCCAGTCCAGTACTATCAAGCTGTTTAACACAGGAAGCTAACTGGTTTGACTTCCAGTGTGGGAAAGTTGGCTTGAAGTCAGGAAGATTCGATACACCAGGCCAGGTCTCATCTGATGGTGTGGTCAAAGTTCTGTGAAATATAAAATATCAAAACAAATAACTAAAGATGATGAAAGTGAAATAAACGGGCAGTGCAATGAACATTAAGTTTTCTGGCTTGGCGATGACGTCATGTAATGGATGGGTTTTCAAGTTCTGTGCTTGTAAAACATTAAGCAAAGAATTCCAACTTTAGAATTACAAGTCAAGGTGCAAAAGGAAAGATTGTTGCAGAACATAATTATGCTTTTTATCCACAACTTCAAGCATGCGGATGCAGGGAAAGGCAATCAATGCAACTCTGAAATAGCAAAGGAATTATAGTGACTAATTGTAAATGGACAAATGTGGCAAGAATAGATGCCAAGCTTCAGCACGTCAAAATTAGAGGGACTCACGTGGATATTCTATCCAGGGACTCACGTGGATATTCTATCCAGGGCAGTGGGTATGCTCACACTGGACAAATGAGACACTCTGAAAACAATTTACAAATGAATGCTGATTTTTTCTTCTTCAGGTTTAGGTTTGAACAACGGATCAACATCATGGCACAAGTGTAGTAACCCATAAGTGCTCCGTTCTACTCCTAATTCAAGTCTGAGTATTAAGAATCTCAGCACAATGCACGAACTCCGTAGCACTGACGAGGACCCTGAAATACTCTGGGTAGATTTTCAACTCCAAATTTTGCCTGGGAAGCGCCGTTAGGCTATTCTTTTCGATTTCCAACTGCAAAGGGATTTTTTATGTGCGCAACAATACACACGGGCATCTGACCTCACTACCCAGAGACCAGAGGAAATTACTAGAAGTCCACATGGACAAATCCCAGCCTTCACCAGGCACCTCCAGCACTCGAGGCGGATGCAATGCCACGAGACCATGGAGCCCTTTAATACTCACGGAAGTCATGAGGGTAGATTAAATAATGTGTGTAAAAAAATTTTGAACTAGGAATCAGGTGTGGATCCGGCAAGGATGGCCGTATGAGAGGCAGAGAATGATGTGTGTATAATCAGTATGCAATGTAAACAGCAATATCATGTTAAGATGTTTTCTGCGGGAGACAGAGCATCAATGGGTGTGCCCGGTACGCTATGACGATTCTTAATTAGTAACCATCTGTTCTTATTTCACACAAATTGATCATGCCAGCTTTCTTGTCACCCATTAAACAAATTTGTTTTCTTTTTTAATCCAAAGGGCATACATCACAGTTGTTCACCTCAGAGGCATGTGTGTCCAACTTTAGCACGTGACTATGCAAGGTTTCTATCCAAGGTAGATGAATGACTGTCTAACTTATGGGTAGGATCCCCCCCAGAAGGCCGAATATTAAGTTGCACTACCCAAAAGATGATGGGGACGTGTGATATTTGAAAACAATGGTTCTCGTAAGAATCCCCAATCCTCTACTGGGAAATCCAAACACCTGTAATTTCAAAGACTGAGTTCCACATGTGGGTTCCGTGGTCCCACAGAGGGGGAAAAAAGATTAAACCCACTACCCCAACAAGCGTGTTATTAAAGTCAACTAATTAGGGATGTCTCCCTCAGAGTCAGCCTGAGAAGTGAGGAACCAGCAGTCTGCCAAAATGGATGAGCATGCAAAACTCAAATTCTGAAGCAAGACTAAAGTCCAGAGGTGGATGAACAAACATAACTTTCTGCCAGAGTTTACAGCCGGTGAGGGCGAAAGAAAACATTTAATTAGAATGTATATATACATGCCTGATTAATGTCAGGACACACACATAGTTTATTAACTGACAACTTTTCAGATATGAAGGGAAAAAGCATCATAATTATACCCTGGCTGCTAAAATACGCAGCAAAGAAATCTGTTCTTTTTCAACAATACATTCAACAAGGCACCATGGCAGCTTAGTGAACAGTGCACTGGACTGCAAATACAACAATTCTGTTATAACCCCAACCCTTTTCCTTAATGAGCTAGGGTTCGCTGACACTGAAAATGCCTAAACGCATGGGGGGGGGGGGGGGGAAACCTTACAAAACCCAAACAATTCTCAGACAGCCTTGATGCATCATGGTTTGGTTATATTATAAATGCCGGTCTGCAGGACTAAAGTCCCCATGTACCCCTCCATTGGTTTGCTAGGTAAAGGTAAGGAGAGCTTGAAGGATTGCAAAGGATAGAATGGAAAGGAGAACTAGACTGCAAACCCCACATTGCAAATGCCGGCATAACAGGATGATGATGATGGCATAGGTTACAAAGCACTGTACCATGAACTTGAAAATTACATGTCTCTGGTGTTTAAAACTTTGCCACATGAGTCAGTCTACTTGTTCTCCTGACAAAATTAATGTAGTCTGCAGCTGATGTAATTAATTTACTTCAACTGATGTCACTAATCTTCCCCTGATGTCATTGATTTACTTCAAATGATGTCACTATTCTTCCATGGATGTAATTGATTTACTTCAACTGATGTCACTAATCTTCCATGGATGTAATTGATTTACTCCAACTGATGTCACAAATCTTCCCCTGATGTAATTGATTTACTTCAAATGATGTCACTAATCTTCCATGGATGTAATTGATTTACTCCAACTGATGTCACAAATCTTCCCCTGATGTAATTGATTTACTTCAAATGATGTCACTTATCTTCCCCTGATGTAATTAATTTACTTCAAGTGATGTCACTAATCTTCACCTGACATAATAAAATGTCAATAATCTTTCCCTGGTGTAATTAGATGTCACTAATCTTCACCTGATGTAATTGATTTACTTAACTGATGTCACTAATCTTCCCCTGATGCAATTGATTTACTTAACTGATGTCACTAATCTTCACCTGATGTAATTGATTTACTTAACTGATGTCACTAATCTTCCCCTGATGCAATTAATCTACTTCTTTACCTGATGTAGTCAATCTACTTTTTTATGTCATGTCTTTTCTCCGGATTAATTAATCTGTCTTCATCTGATGTAGTCATCCCCTTCTGATTAAGAAATCTGTCGTTACTTGATGTCAATCTTAAGTTTTAGCCCCCATCCCAACTCTTCCAGAAATGATATTAAGGACTGGTACAGTGGCCTGTATTTACATAATTATGTTAACTATAAATGTTAACAGTTGATCTTTACCTGAAAATTCGGAATAACTGATCTATTTCTGAGTCCCCGTGGAACAGTGGCCGTTTTGTGGCCATTTCCGCAAAGATGCATCCAATACTCCAGATATCAGCAGGTACAGAATACCGTTGAGACCCAAGCAGGATTTCTGGAGCTCTATACCAAAGTGTCACCACCTGGAATAAAAAAAAAAAGTCATATCAGATGTCTGAATTAGCATTCTACAGCCAACTACTGCTTGTATGTACCACTTTTGTGGTGTAGGCGGTTAGGGGAAGGTTGTCTTTCCGAGCCTGAGGATTTATGGCTGCATGGCTAGAGCTGCTGTCAATGGACTGTGCAGGTTAGGATTCTTTTTTTTTAAACCCAACAGAGAAAAAAAATCTATGACCTTATCGATGATTTGAACCAGAGCTCCCCCATGACAGCCCAGCATTCTCAACAGTTCATCAGGAAGCTGATCCTCAGCATTTTATAGCATGTGCTAACTTCAAACCATAAACTAAAACATCTAGCACAACTCAGAAAAGTGTTACTCTATGACCAGGTGAAACAACCCTAAAGTGCCTTCTTCTTATATCACCTTCAAAAAAAGCAGATGGCATGCTGTGTAGTGGTTTGCAGCTCAGCTGTGCCTTTCAACCCAACACATTTGATTACAGCAAATCCTTAATTAGTCTCCTTTTTACACTATGCTTTGTAACGAGCAGTGGATCAATCTTTATACTAAGCAATAGGATGCTGGAAAACACTACAGAATTATTACAGTTGAACTAGCGATGTGAAAGCTTTATTACAATATGCCATAAGTGGAAGTGAAGACAGCGAATAAGATGAATAAAGTCATTTCTTCAGTCCCCCGTGTGGGTTCCGGGGCCCCATTGTGGGGAAAACAAGAATAGACCCACTGCCTCCCCAAAAGCATGTCGTAAGAGTCGACTAATTGGGGAGCTTCCTTTGAAGTCGGAGTGCATCTGCCGGAGAGGCAAGGAACCAACAGTCTGTATTCAAGAGAATGAGATCTGTAAAACTGATGCACACGCAACACTCAGGTTCTGGAGCGGGACTGCAGTTCAGTAGTGGACGATAAACCAGAACTTTCCGCCAGAGTGTACAGCTGGTGAACGCGAAGAAGAAGAAGAAGATTTCTTCAGTGATGACCAGGATCACATTCCACTTCCAGTTAGCTGCCCTAGAAGGAGTATCTCAGCTCAATGCACAAACACCAAAGCACTGGTAAAAACAGGCAGTGGTTCTATTCTGGTTTCTTCCCCATAATGGGGGTCCCAGAACTCACACTGGGAAAAAACATATCAGATTTCAGCAAACTGATGGTGGCGCGGTGATTTATGTCACAGGCGTGAGGGGAAGTTAAGTCCAACATGATGTGTATAAGGAGATACTCCGTACGTCCTTTAATATCCTGGTTGTACGGAACCTCACGCAAGACCCCGGCAGCATGTCCTCGTCGTGCGCCACGGATAATGTCTCAAATGAGCATTAACAGAGCTGTCAGGGGATCTCGGAGTTTGGCGGCCCCCAGAGGTGATGTGTCCTTGTGGCTCTCATCAGCCCGCCCCCAAACGCTTGGGTGAAAAATGTTATTATAACTCATTAGGAACATGAGTAGGTCTGCCAAACGTACAGCCAAAATTACAACCCTTGGTTAAAAGACTGCGGAGTAAAGAGAACATTGTTCACTGCACATCCTCTGTTAACCCTCAGTGTCGTCACCGCGCTGGGGTACACCACAACAGCAACCATCCATAGGCTGGCCATTCATGTACATCCTCGGTTAACCCTCAGTGTCGTCGTCACCGGTTGCGCTGGGGTACACCACAACAGCAACCATCCATAGGCTGGCCATTCATGTACATCCTTGGTTAACCCTCAGTGTCGTCGTCACCGCGCTGTGGTACACCATAACAGCAACCATCCATCGGATGGCTAAGCCTAAATGTCCGACAAAACTAGATCATACGGATCAAAATCTGCCCTCAAAATTGGTATTGAACTGAAAAAGACCGAATGTCCACACCCAAAGACCCCACTCGCCCGAGTGTTGGGACAAAACTGATACGATATGCCTGGAGCAGGATGTAAAATTCTGTCGGGCTAACGGCTCGTCAAAGAAATCTAACGTGCGAAGAAAAAAAAGAATGTACCTATCTGTGTGGTCACAAAAGTCCAAAACCCACGGGCTGCTCCCCGCTGACTTCCAGAGGGCGCAGCCCCTGTCGAGCGGGAGGCCTGATACGGTTGTGAGGTTAAGCAGGCATGTGCAGGACGTGACGATTCCTTGGGTGAGCCCAGAACCAGAGCGCCATGTGCCGGCTCTGCATACATGGATGCCTCCTTGGATGGCGGGGAATGCCCATGATTTGCCCCTGCCTTCCCTTGAGGGCTAACTGCTCCAAAGGGGCACTCCGGGGGCAATACCTGCGGCAAAGGAGACAATGTGGACACCACACAAATCAGGCAACGTCTCGACCCACACAAAACAATGGCCACAGTCACCCTAGAAATAGGCCTGACGTCTTCCTTCGAAGTCGGCGTACAGCTGCCCATGAGGCAGGGAAATGAAAAACGGTTGTACACGCAAAAATCAGGTCCAGGTGAAAGCCAAAAGTCCAAGCGGACGATTACCTGACCTACCACTGGAATTCACAGCCGGTGTTCGATGGAAAAAAAAAAAAAAAAGCAAACTGATCATTATCAATTAGCAGGTTCTTTACAGAACGTCCCGGCATGCCTGAAATAGCACTTTCTCCAGCCTTATCTGTTTCCATAGCCAATGCTTCTCCAGCAGATCTGCCTCTCATCTTATGAAACTGTTGGATACACTACTGACCTGTTATAGAGTACAGGGTAAACATTCTACCATTCAGAGTAGCTGCACATAGGTAAGCAGGATACATGTTAATGCAGTTTCAACTCACCATAGAGTTTACATCACCAAAGAAACAGTGAAGCCAAATGTAAAATGTCAACAACTTCTTTTTGGCACTGAAATGAAATATAGCCCTTCTCACCTCATGCGTGTATACTCGGACTGGTATTCCAAATGCTCTAGCTAATCCAAAATCTGCAAGCTTGATCACACCACTGTTATTGATGAGTAAATTCTGCGGCTTCAGGTCTCTATGAAGTACTCGTCTCATGTGGCAAAATAAAATACCCTCTGTAATCTGATATAAATAACTCTGAGGACAGATATAAACTTTATTATATATTTGTGAATATAATATCATAGAGGGGGTCAGCGGGACACACATATATACAGAGAGAGAAAGAGAAGAAATAAAGATAAACACAGAGAAGGACATTCATACACAGAAGGTGACAGACAAATCACACAACAGAGAAAGAGGGAAAGGGGGGGGGGTAGAGAGAGAGAGAGAGAGAGAGAGAGAGAGAGAGAGAGAGAGAGAGAGAGAGAGAGAGAGAGAGAGAGAGAGAGAGAGAGAGAGAGAGAGAGAGAGAGAGAGAGAGAGAGAGAGAGAGAGAGATAGAGAGAGACTCTGTTTCTAGATTAAACATTCAAACCTTTTTTAGACGTCCCAGAAACTAATTAAGTGACCATTTCAACCACTAAAATTTATAACACCAGTGAACAGGCTACAGTTTTATTTCAGTTCCGGAACATGACAGTTTGTGGTCCACAAGATTATACAGAGAGTACAAAAAAGACAATGATACCTTCACAAGCATTGAATCCATATACTGTCCGCTAGGAATACTGTCTAGATATTTCTTCAAGTCCATGGACAAAAACTCAAAGACCAAGTATAGTTTGTTCTCTTGCATCAGGATATCCTCCAACCTGTTCAGTGTAAACAAAGCAACCATGAAATATACAGTAAGCCAAAAAATGTATACATAGTAATCCCCCAGCAGTGAAATGCATAAACATTTTCACAGAGGCTACTTGTTTAATAACGTCATCATTACGTGACATATTCTGCCATATTTAGACTGATTTATGAGAGCTATGTGTTGTATTTTGATTATAAAAAGTGACTGGAAGCTAATGGGAATCACTTTAAGCACCATAAGTAACTTCACACATAACTTGTAGTCTCCTTCAGGGCATTAGGAAACCTTTAATGTTGCGGCACTGGAACACCTAACAAAACAGTATGTGAAAAGCATGCATCGGTTAGGTTTCTGATTGAGTGAGGCCATTGGTAGTGGACATTTGAACCTTGTCTGCCGGAACCTTGTCTTCACTGGCCAAGTAAGTGTGCACAATCTTCTTGAGCACGTCAAACACTTTTATGTTAGACACTAGGCCAGCTAGCATGACAGGAATTTGCCTCTTACACACTAAGACATTTGATGGTCAGCATCTAAAACTTTGCCTTTATGCCACAGAACAGTGAGATACTGCCCACAAGAGATGTTTGTCTAAGCTGCAAAGAGACTCATGCTCTAGGGCTGTGTTTCAACAGTTCACAGTGAGGTAGTCGCTCAGTTGATTATGACATTCTGACACCTGACTGGCGGACATTAGAGCCTAATTAGTCAGATTTTTAGTCGACAGCCTTTTGAACCGAGGTCTGTCATATATTTAGACTATTCTCTCATGTTACAAATGAGTGTTTGATAGATGTAATCGCCCATGCATTGGTGTGGGCCGATGAGAGCCACACGATTTCTGGGCACTGCATTTCTGGGAGCCACCAACTTCAAAATCCCCTGCCAATTCAGTTAGGGCCAATATGACCTTTTATCTGTGGCATATTATCATATATGTGGTAATATTTTCTAAAAAGTGCGGCTCCGGGGTCAGTCACGAATCTGCCTTTGTCTCCTTTTGAAAAGGAGTTACAGATTACAGTGCTGTAGCCCACCAGAACATCAGTTTAGGACCAATCCTAAGCTGAGCTATCAGCCTGACTACATAGGGCTCTCGGACTGACCTATTCATACGGCTTTATAGTTAATCTAGTCCTACAACATGGATACCAAACTTACCACACTATGTCATAATGCAAAGACAAACAGTATTATTCAATCAATTAGGTGCCATCTCTACAATGAAGGTTGGCTGCACGCCCATAAAATTGGAAAATTTCCACTAAGAACAGACTACTGTGATGTCTTATAGATTGGTAAGGGGTCCTACAATATTTAACTTTTGGCATCAAAAACTGTTAAATTGATATTAATCAATGCATGTTGTGTCAAATGGCAATAAAAGAGTTTACAACAATCGAAAGATAGGCCAGTGATCTTACCATGTGGGTTTCAGGGCCCCACAGTGTTAAAAAAAAAAAAAAAAATTCTACTTCCCTTTGACAAGCATGTTATAAAGTATAATTAACGTTCTGATAAAATTGGATGTGTTGGGGTGAAAGGTGCAGATATTGCTGCCTAGCTGTAAACCACAATACAAAGTACCAACCACCCTTTAGATGCGAATACAGAGGATTCAACACACACAACTAAAAGAAAAGACTTACGACACAATGTTAGGGTGCTGCAGTTCTTTCAACAATGAAATCTCTCTGATGGCTGTTGATGGCACCCCCTCTTCATCAGATTCAAGTCTAATTTTCTTCAACGCAACAAGCCGGTTACTCTTCTTATGCCTGCCCTTGTATACAACACCATATGTGCCTGGAAATTTTACAAAATATTTCAACTTCTACTGTCAAAATTCAAGAGAAATTCAGTAATATGGATTTCTGCCGAGCGCTTCATTATTATTACGCAAGTTCACTATAATGAGGAGAATGTAAGGATTACCGCTAAAGGTTATAAAAATCCTAATATACATAAATAATAGCAAGCCTTAAATTCTAATGGCTGAGATAGGGAAAACTGAGATAAAAATAGGAGACAAACACTGGTTAATAGTAGGGAATTATAGCTATGGATAGTAACATGATTACTGCTCGAAAGCGTGAATACTATTTGAGTGAACACCAAGCGCATGCATGTTGTATATGGGAAAGACAGCAGTGAATGTTAGTGAAGTAAAGATGGATGAGTTTTGTGTGTAATCCAGTCAGCAGATCTGTTTCAACTTGAGTGAGAGGACAAGTGTCTGAACTGAATGTGAACCAAAAAGGCTGTAAGAATGTCATGTTTATGTGAAGAATGTGGCAATTAAACTTGTGAACATTCTATATAGCTAAGGACTGCAGACAGGCAGACCCGATGTGGAGGTGTTAAGAATAAATACTGTCAAGAACTAATGAACCCTGTTATGAACGAATGCCAGGTGTGTTCATTCATCTGAGTTCTGATAGTTACTTGTATTGGCCCACCACTCACAGTATACAATGAGTTAGAAAGCATAGAGGTGGATTCAGTGCAGTCATCATCATGTGCAAGGCTGACAAGCGTTGGTTGTCTGTTCACGATTTCAACTGCTCTTAAAAATCACACATCAACTCAAGATTCTCAGTCATGTAGCCAAGTTATCCATGTACAAGGGGAAGTTAATAAGTAAGTCACAAATGGTTTCGGGATGGCAAGAAAATATTGGTGGTTTCTAAAGGTGTTAGCAACATCAAACTTTATGACTCTGTTGGTTAGGTGGCGCTAGGTATTACATGCACATTCACAACACAGAAAAAAAAATGGTGACTGTACTTATGAAGTGTACCTTCCCCACAAAGAACAATATGCTTCTTCATGACAATGCCAGACAACATGACTCGGCTAACTCAGGAGAAAATTAACCATCTAGGGACATTCAAGTCAACTAAGGTGGTAACTTCAAGAACATCCACCTTCCAGCACCAACTTAGCCCCTAGCGATTTCTACCTTTTTTGGTTCATGGAAAACCCAACATGGCGGGAGACATTTCGCGACTGATGCAGAAAGTGAAGATGGAAGTGAAATTGTGGTTTAGAAAACAGAGCATGCAGTTCTATGCAGCAGGTTTGGGAGGACTGATAAAAGGATGGGACAAGTGCATCAATGTAGGTGGAAACTAAGTTGAAAAATAAAGGGACAGTGTATGTGTGTGTGAAAATAAATGGTTTTCGAGTTATCATCTGTATTTTTTTTTAAACAACTATTGTGACTTACTTATTAACTTCCCCTTGTATTTAAAACAGATACACAGCATAATTCACGATACTGCTAGCTTTTGATCAAAAATGTTTGTTTTGTTTCAAACAAAAAAATGCACTGTGCCCGATTACAAGCCGAACTGCAGGATTTTCACCTCTCAGCTGAAAAATCTAACTTCAGGTATTTGTTGACTCGGCTATCCTTCTTTATTACTGTCCGCTTTTGACTGATCATAGTCTAACCGCAAAACTGCAGGTTAGGATGAACACACATTAAAAAAATGCCGCTTTTCTTTTAACGCTTGTGTGTCTTTGCTTCCTAGTTATTTACACACATTTATCAAATTCTACTAGTATCAGAAGTGTACATACCTTCCCCAATTTTTTCTATCTTTGAATACTCATCCATTGTAGACATTGAAACAATTGTTCTTTCTCTGTCGACATACAAAAATATTAATATTAGATGATTTAGTAATTCATTATTATTTTTTAAAATTAAGCTGATAATCTAAAAAAATATGTAACTTTTTAAGAACAGATGTAAACTTTAATTCTTATTACATATACTTAATACCACAGACAGATAGAATTTACTGCAAGTGATTTTTTGCCTTTTTTTTAATCACTAAAATAGTTCTTTTGTAAGATTGCAGTGTGCTGCCAGCATTTATCCTAACTCTTTGGAGATGACTTGGCCGATTTATCTAGCCGACACAAACTAGCCAAAAAGATGAATGGGCCGATCGGTCAGCCCTATATAATACAAGCCTTGAGATTGGCTGGCAGGTTTTCGTACCAGAAAATCAGATTGCTTTTAGCATTTCTGGCACATTTGAGCACCGATAAAAACAATTCACCTAAACTGTTTTAGAGGTAATCATGTTTGTTCTAAAGTGAAAATAAATGCTTGCATAAATTATTCAAATCAGAATAGTTATTCTAATTAAATTTTGAGATTTCAGTTTGATTCATAATATTTTGTTAGCTTATTCAATTTCCTACACAAATATATACCGTTCTGTACATATTAATTAAAGCGATTTATTTGTTTGCAAATTTTGTGTGTCTGTAAACTAAGAGAATCCTTGGTGCTTTATTAATATCCTACCCCCAAACAGGGGAAATCCACAGGTTATGGGACAGTCTAATATTTCAGAGGGTGGTAGATAGGCTGCATGCAGTCGTGGGACCTAGGCTGCACTCTCTTGTGGGATGTAGGTGGTTTGGGGTTAGGGCCAGTTCTAGATGTTTTGGGGTCATTAAAAGCATCAGAAAGCCGGGAAACCTAGTTTTACCACCCTCTAAAATGTTTGACTGTCCTGTTAAGTCATCTGGGGGTAGGATATTAATAAAGCACAGAATGCCCTCCTGAAGGCACTCCAAAAACTCTCCAAAGGGTTAAGCCTGTGTATGGCTGACACTGAACCCATGAAAAAAAAAAAAAAAAAGCCTGCAGGGGTTTGCAGCTTTTTTGTGTGCTGCCATGAGTAGGACTGATAATAGCTCTACCTGCAGTATGGGTAAATGCATCTAGTGCTGGCTGCCAACTAAGGACACAGTAGTAGTAGTGGTATCGCTCAGTCAGGGTGTTCATTGTTTATTTAAATGTAAACACCTGCTCCATTATTAATATTTATATTATATTCACTATATAATTTAGCTTAAAAATAAATATCTCGGCTCAGACCTGAAGTATCTTTGAATTTATTTTTCGATGTGGAATGCAACTATGATGGTTACGTTGTAATGATTTTAAAATAATTCAGAAAATCTGACTAAAGTTTTTACCTATGTTGTACGCTTTTTTTGGTCATTGTAATATAGTAATTTGTACAGTTCACAAGTTCAGTAAATAAAAAAGCAAAAGACACAAAAAAGTCAGAAAACAGTTTACATCTGCAAGTATTTAACTGAAAAAATAATTTTGAACAGCGAAAACAGTTTACAGATCCATAAACATAACTTTAAAAGTAATTATAATTACCAACAAACAATAAGATACACAAAAAGAAGTAACGTTATCGGCCTTGTCGGCTTGAGACTCCCGGTTTCTCTTCCCCGACTGGATTGGCAGACGACTTCGAACTGACCAATAGCAGCGCTTCGTCGACACAATGGTGGCAAGGGGGCGCTTATGCTTTTACTTTCATTTACTCGCCATCTTTCACGGCTTCCGTAAATTATAAGGAACACGAATCAAGAGAAAAACATCAGAAATACAAGGGCAGGAGCAACACACTCGGACACAGGAAAGGATCGAGCGGTCTGACTTTGAGGGAAGAAAGACTAAGCCAGAAAACTTGTGCAAGTACCAGAACTTCAGCCACGAAAGTGGTGCAAATAAACCAGACCACAAATATAACCGGAGACTGTTGGCGGCTTCGGCTGGCTAACAGCAGGTTAAACGTGTCGAGTTTTATTTTTTAATTTTTGTCAAGTGTAAACTTCTTCCGCCAAGCATCACGTGGAGCATGGACCAGTCTTGCATAGACCCGCTCAAAACTTCAGAGCGGGGGTGGGAAAAAAAAAAGGGGGGGGGGGGTGTTAGGTACCTCGAGGACACCACTACCTTTTCCAGTTTTTGAAGAGGTTGGGGAAGGGGCTGTTGAGGCCACCCTGCCCCATAACTTAGTAGAGTATGCGAATGGCAAATAAATATTCATGTGCTTGAAATGTTTATGAAATGTACACAAAAAGTACTTTAAAAAGAGTTTTCATGAATGGTTACCAGGAACTTTTCAATTCCCTTAGAACATTTTTAGGGTAGGGGTATGGTGACTGAAAACTGGACCTCCCAAGCAAGTCAGTTAACCCCCACCACACTTTTTTATTTTTAACCTTTACAGAGAACAAAGTTCCGGTCCTTCTTTGTTACATACCTTTAAAAAACAAAAAAGAGTTCAGACCCAGAGTTCGGCTCCCTATTGTGACCTGTCCCTCCTTACTCATTCATAATCCCATCTTATTTTCCCCATTAGCCATCAACACATTTAAAGTTTTACAGGTATCTAAGACTATACAATCTAAACATAGGTCTACACATATAACTTTAATTGTATGTTCTATTCTCAAAATTATTCCAAAGTTGTTTAAAAAAAAATTAAACTAGACAATTGACGTTTTTGGAATACTAACGAAATGGTCGGGACACAAAGCTAGCTGCTTTATGTTAATGCAGGCGTGGTGAAAGCTCTCTGAAATTAAGTGGAGGATGCAGTAAAGCAAGCAATGTCGATATGTGCATGGAAAGACTGGTTCAGCGGGGATTTTGCAAAGGGTCTGGGATATTTTCAATGTGAAGAAGAAAAGTGAAGGTTACAGCTTGTACCATAGTATGTGCACTCTTCATTGGCTACAGATGAGGGGGCGGATCACTCGGGAGAATGCCCCAAATGCATATCAATCTCATCAATTCTTGATTCAGTCATTAAGACAGCTAATGGGGGACATTGAGATATAAGAGCTAAGATGTATAAAGGGTTGACACACCATCCCATGTTTAAAAGATTTTGTATTCTTGGAAGAAAGGCTAAAGCAAAAAAAAAAAAAAAAAAAAAACTGTTGATGTACTGGCAAGGATAGACGCAAGGAAAAAAAAATTGCAGGATCGGAAAAAAGAAAGACTGGGACAGATCTTTCATCAAAGATTCGGTCATTGGCGTGGGTGACCATACCTCTCCACAATCTGCTATTTTCCCCTACAGATCTTTCTAGTGCTGTAATTTCGTGCCAATTTCTTCCTAGCCTGTACACAAATTTTGTTTGCGAAAAATGTTGTTCTGCTCAGACCTACTATCTGTTCACTGGTAACTACTGTGTGTACACATTGACGAAAACGTTAAACAATGATGATCCATGGGGCAAGACCATTAAGGCACATTGAGGTTTTGATGCTCAAGCCCCGCATGGCAGCGACACTGTTCGTTCGAAAAGCGCTGCTGTTATGCTGGATCCTGTTGAGCCATTGTGTCTCTATGTGCATGTCCAACAGCAATCTGATGAGTATGCTGTATAGGACGCTGTAGTAAGTGTATTTTAGGTCACTGATGTCTGCCATTCCTACCTGGAAGACTCCTTACGTGTCGTAAGCAAATACTTTAGCATTACGAGGATATCTGCCCGTCAGATACTAACCTAGTGTAAGTGCCGAAAGACCACGATCTATTTTTGCATGTAAACGTTTTGGCCACGATTTTTCCAATGTGTTTCTTTACGGTGTTCTATGGTGTATTGATTCTGGTCATTTATTTTTGCATGCTCTTTCCCAGGCTTAGGAATGGGTATGAGGTGGCTATTTAGCCAGTCATCAGGGACGATGTAGCTTTTGATGCTTTTGTTAAATGCCCTGGATGGTGTCTGTACCAACAGTATAATAAAATAGTGTCAAATTCTATTGACTACATAGATTCAAAACGAAGAATTGAGAGGAAGATTAAGTAAAAGCATAAGAAGATTGATGTTTCAAAGCTATATAGAGCATCCATGTAACGCGTTGTACAATTAGATTACTGATCTCCATGAGGCTGATTGTCCATGTGAGGCTTTAAATTAGACAGTTGAAAACAGTATTGCATTTAAATAGCTACCGTTTGTGCAATTTCCAAATGTCAAGCTATCAATTCTGAAAAACGAAACAAAAATTGCAATTATAATCACTGAATTAATTTATCCAGGTATCCGAAAACCTAATTAAAAACTGATTAATAAAATTAATGATTCTTAAAGTTTGGCTTGACTCTCCAGGAAAGAGTTGCCTATTTCACAAGTTTCACTATGGCTGACATATCGCTTGATGAATTTATCAGAAAGGGCAACATTAAAGTTCGCGTTAGGTACAGTATAACCGAATGGTCTAACTGTTGTTACCCGTCTATTAAATATATTAATATGAAAATATTTCCTATATATTTAAGACACTAATAAAATTTGAAATGACGTTTGATTTAAAGTAAAGCATGAAGTCCCAGTACTTTGTTTGTAGTCAAGTCTGTTTTGAGTTTGTTGTGCTGAAAGAGTTGGTCGGTACTGACTTCAAGAAACGGTACGTCGGCTGTCGTTGATTATCCATTTATCACTCTGTGTGTTAATTTTGTAATTATGAGACTGAGAAAACACAAGAAAACAAGTTCTTCAACTCTACTCAATAAGGAAAACAATATCTATTTTAATACTTATTTTTATAATAATATAATTATAATATATCAATTTTTTTAAAAAGGAATTTAAGAAATGAGACGAGGTGCGAATTACTCAGAAGAACTTAGCAGAAGCTTTGCATTTGAAGTATTATTACAATTATGGCAATATGAAATATTTGTAAATGTCAGATGATTTATATATGAATATATGCTAAGAAATGTTTACATGTCACACTAAAGGCACAGTTTAACTCACTTTTAGGGCCTATAGTGAAAGTGAAGTGTTGTGTTACTGTGGCCCAGACACAAACAGGAAAACAAAGAAAACAACACACACTCATCTGCTAACTACAATAAAAGCTCAGAACTGTACAGAAGAGTTGAATAATGACTTATATTTCTGCTAATGATTGGCTACCTCATCCTTTAGCCCATTTATTAAAGCTGTAAAACTCGGCTGCCATGAACAGGTTTCATGGCTCTCCTCCGAACGGCATCCTAATATTATGGCGGCCATAAAATATCCATACGGGGCTCATTTCTATTAAAAATTTGCCGGCTCCGTATAACGAAACAAATGCTCTAACAGGGTCTCCGCGATATGTTACTTGCGTACCTGTTTCTGTGACTGTGCCTCACCGACGACTGTATCCCCCACGCCACGCGTAGCGCCATAATATTAGGACGCTGTTCGGAGGAGAGCCGGTTTCATTTAGACTAGAGGATTTTCATTGAATTAGTGGCGTAAGTTGATTGTAAGATTTTGATAACGACTGAGCACCTCTGTTTAATTGTACTAGCGGGAGGCTATATAAAGGTATTTTCTCATTGTCTTATAGAGGAAATATAAAAAACATTATATATCTCACTTAAAATCCACAAAACTAACTTCTTCTTCTTCTTCTTCTCTTCCCCCTAGTACCTCATCGAAGTGTCGTGGGGAGATGTAATATTCGTTGATGAGCTCTGTCAGGAGCACTATTGAGACTGATGTTCATTTCTGTAAGGCTGTTCTTAATGCAGCATTTACTACATGTATACAGGCTTTTGCAAATATCAGTGAGATGATTGATGATTCCCTTTCCCTCCATACATTCCCACACAGAAAAAAAGGGAATCAGCAATCATCTCATTGTTATTTACAAAAGCCTGTACACATGTAGTAAATGCTGCATAAGATCAAAGACAGGATTGTCAAGAACTTTTAAAAAACTAACTGCTTAGGCTAAACCAGGCAACAAATTTGTGAAGTTGAAATATGTTTACCGAAAGGCATTATTATCAAAATTATTCTATAAAAGGGCACAATACGGTTACATCTTGATGAAAGTAGAAGAAAAAGATGCAGTAGAGAAAGAAGTAAAATTCTTGACAATTGGATAGAATGCAATCCTTAGTGAAAAAAAATATTAGGTCAAATGATGACCTCTCCTTCTGTTTGAGTGTCCTTTATGTTTGTTATTTGTAGTGATCAGCAATGAGGAATGCACAGAAGTCATAAAAAGATGAGCTTTTGCAAAAAAAGAGGTTAAACAGCATGAAGAACCGATGATGCAGCACCTGCAAGCAACTTGAAGTAACAATTTTGGGCTCTTCTTTGATCTTCCCCCACATTATGATGGCATACCCTAACAAGGCCTCAGTCATGTGTAAAATGCGGACTTCCTGCAGTAAACACATCGCTGTAAAAACTAGGATTACTTGAAAATTTTAAGGCGTGCAACATTGCAGACGATAATAGCGACCGTTGACTATTTTGAGCGTTTCTGCAGACGATAATAGCGGACCATTGACAATTTCGAGACACGCAACACTACAGATGATAATAGCGACGTGGCGGGGAGACCATGCGTCGTCGTTGTCCCCACACTTTTTGGCATGCGCACAGCACGGATGGGGACTCATGAGCAAATAAATTGGAGGAAGTTGCAGGAGATGCGGTAGCTGCTGCTTATGAGTCCCAGCCATCTAGTTTAGCCCCCCATCTGTCGGCGGTGCGGCATAGTCGCAGAAACAGGTCCACAATTAACATATCGCTAAGACCCTGTTAGAGCATTTGTTTGCCTTTGATAATATTGGCCCGTTATTCGAAGCCGATCCTAGTTTTGCCGTGATTTGTTCCTCTGCAAGAACTCCGCATTTTGCATAGGACTGGGGCCCTGTTAGAGTATTTGTTTGGCTGCCATAATGTGTGGTGGAAGATCAAAGGAGAGCCATATTTTGAAATGATGCATCTTGCTTATGGCAGCTTATGGATGTGAGTCTCTTACTCAGTCTTTGAAGAGAAATTCAGAGCTGTTGAACTGAAATTATACAGAAAAATTCTTAGAATACTGTGAACCAAGAAGAAGAAAAACACATCTTAAATGATCTGAACATTGAAGAGAACTAATATCCTGTCCTAAAAGCTGGTGTATTTTGGTCATGTTAATCATCATGGAGAGAATGGGGATGAAGGATGCAGTTTCTGGAATATGAGTCAGAGGTCGACTTTGGTGAAGGTAGACACAAGAAATTGAAGATGCATTGGCTATTAAAGCACACAGGGCTGGAGAATTGGCTAGAAAAAGAGACTTTCAGGCATGCCTTGAAGAAAGTGACTTTCTGTAAAAGCCGTGCTGATTGATTATATGGGATAGTTCATCCTCTTGTAGTCCTTGCCAAAAAGGGGTGTTCATCATGTGTATTCACAGTATTCTTTCTCTGTAAAAACCTCTGATATAGATGTCCCTACCTGCTTTATTTCCAGCAGCACAACATCCTCTCTCTTGGTCCTCCACTGCTTCTTTTCCCCTCCTTTTGTTATTATATGCTAACTTTCTTTTCCTCATGATGCACTCAAAGAATAATGATTGCCTTTTTCTGGTGTGAGCATGTGATTGTTATAATTAGATTAGTGATAATGTTTTTGTGCTAAATTATATCTTTTGCCTCTTCTTATTTTATAGCAACACCCAGCAAGGAAAGGGGAAAGGAAAACCACAGAAAAATGTGCCAGCACCAAATAGAAATGGCGGCATTCGCCCACCTGTCAAAAACATTGATGCTCGTCAAAGATTGGGCCCAAAGCCAGTTATTGATGCAAGAGATAAAATAATCATTAACAAAAAAAGTGGGGTCGGAGATGCTCGCAATAAAATTGTACAGAAGCAGGTGCAGAAGGGGACTTTTGATGCTCGATCATTGCTTCAGAGGCAAGCGAGGAAAATTCAAGGCAAAGTTAACCGACCAGGGAACTTTGTAAGTTTAAAATTTTTATGTTAATACTTCTTCTTCTTCACGTTCACTAGCTGTACACTCTGGCGAAAAGTTCTGGTTGCTCGTCCTGCTCCAGAACCTGAGTGTTGCATGTGCATCAGTTTTACAGATCTCGTTCTCTTGAATACAGACTGTTGGTTCCTTGCTTCTCCTGCAGATGCACTCCGACTTCAAAGGAAGCTCCCCAATTAGTCGACTCTTACAACATGCTTTTGGGGAGGCAGTGGGTCAATTTTTTTTCCCCCACAATGGGGCCCCGGAACCCACACGGGGGATGTTAATACTGTGTATTATTTATCATGTTCTTAACTTCCTAGGATGTCAGATTGCTATGCTTTCCTCAGATGGCTGTTTATAAGTTTTGCCTAGTTTGTTGTTAATTGTTTACTCTAATGGAATGTCCTGTTTGTTCATTCATTTCTTGACTTTGGCTTTGTTCCAGGACTGTTTTGCACACACCTCCATTGTAGAGATCTTTGCAGTCTCTTATTTCCTTACCTGTTATGCGGATGGATTTTGACTTCTCAGAAAACTGTGTCCTATCTCTAGAATGACTGTAGCCAATGTGAGCCTTTTGTATCAAGTAGAATGCTACCATTGAGGTCTTACTGAACTTTTGTGTGACATTTAGTAGTAGATTCGACCTGTGGACTTCACTCATTTTGAAGTGAGTCATCTCAGTAGATGTTATCAGCCATGCATTGGGGGTGTGCTAATGAATATCAAAGGTTCTCTGGACACTGCATCTTTAGGGGCCACCAGCTTCAAGATTCACTACCATTTCAGTGTCGACCGCAATGGACCATTATCCCTGGCATATGACAAAGACATGGCAGAAGTCTTGGAAGAGGGTCCACAAAATTATCACAGAGAATGCTGGTACCCGTACTGACAGACAAAGAATGAAATGGTTCAGCCATCAGGTGAGAATGCAGCCAGATCAGACTGCATATGAGACATTATACAGAAGAACATCTTGGAGAGAGGCAAGAGGAAGACCAAAAAGTAGATGGATAAATGGTGTAGCTGAAACCTGCAAAAAGAGGAACAAATCTATCACTCAGTCCACCTGAGAATCGCTAGAGAAATACAGGAAACCATGACACTGGGCTACAATCTGGTATCAGTGAGACGACAAAAATGCTATCTTCTTTTTGGTATTCTGTGTCTGGTCTGAAGCATGACTTTTCAATATTGTTTGTCATTTGGATTTTAATAAAGCTGCTGATGTTTATATTAGCCTTTGTTACCTCATGTTCTTTGTTGTGTTGATTGGCCTCTACCTTGTTTTCCAGAAACCATACCTTCCGTTATTTTCTAAACCGGTGTTGTGTTTAAATTGACAAAGTTTTCAAATCTTGTAGATTGCATATGTCAGTATTTATCATCTAGTTTCAACTATTTTGTGTGTGTTTTATTTTGTTAGAAGTTATCAGTTTTGTAGACTCCAGTAAACATTTTACAGAAGAATGCTCAAAAAATCTTGGACAGCCAAAAAGAGCAAGCAAGAGGTTTTGAAAGAGGGGGGGGGGGGGGGGGGGGGGGGGGGGGGGCAGCTTATCACAGACATCAGGAGACAGTCATAATTTTTCGGCCATGTTCAGAGAAGAGGGAAAATGGAACATGTTGTGACCACTGGAAAGATCTGTGGAAGGAGGGATAGAGGAAAACAACGAGAGAAGATTCTTGACAGTCTTGTTGCATGGCCGCTGATACATGCTGCAGAAGATCGTGGATTGTGGAGAGGCTTGATCGCCCATATCAGTCGGTAAGGCACCTGCTGATGAAGAAACTCCAGTGTCCTACGTTAAGAAAAAAAAAAAAGAAAAGTAAACGACCCTTTTCCACGCCTCCATGCATATTAATCATATGGAACTATACCTATATTTTATAGACCAATCGGCACTCAGTGGGTGATGTAGTCAACGTCATGCTAGCCACCTTTACTTCCCACGACTTTATCTGATACCCATTTAAAACTTTGTTGACCTGGCAGCCAAGGTCAAGTTTGAAAAAAAGTCAGGACCTGAACAAATGACCTTCGGATCCTCATGCGAGCGTCTAGCCGCTAAACCATAGCGGTTCCCATTCTGTATGTTGAACGTTATCTTGTTACCCATACGTGTCTTAAAAAACAAGTTATTTTTTTTAGGTATTGGAAACAGAATTTCTTCTTCCGCTTTCTTTCGCTTGCTTGAAATAAGTAAGTAAGTAATATCAGCAGTTTTATCTCTTGTATACATTTCACTGTCATTTTTAGCTCATTCCATGGTCTATAGTTTACTTTCCACTGTTGTTCATCCTGGTCAAAAGGTTTGCCTTTATAAGTTTATATTTATTGCAGTCTTGAAGTTTGTGTTCTGCTGCCTGGTTGGACTTTCCCCGTGTGCACATGGCTGGTACACCTATCTTAAATTTTATGTATATGTGGCTGCGTAATAAGTTGTTCCCTATTCTGTGGTGCAGGATAATGACTTGTTTTTATCTGTCCATAATGTGGTAGTCATCTTGTCCCGGAGCTGGTGGTTTTCTGATTGATTCACTTATCCTCTTCTTTGGATGGTGTGTGAACAGAAGAAGGTCTTGAGCATTAGGATTTCGGGCCACCTGGTTAGTGCCACTGCTGGAAACGGCAGGTTGGGATCTTTTTTTTTTGCCCCTGACTGAAAAACAAAATGTCCATCGCCGTACCTAGGATTCAAACCCAGATCTCCCAGAATCAGAGCCCAGCCTTCTAACTGTCCTGTCAGCTTATATATGTAACTGTCATAATTTATTGTTTTGGATTGTGTTGTGTTATTTGGCAGTCACACTATTTTGTTCATGTATTTTTAATTTGGTATTATCATATTTTTTTTTGCTGTTAGAATCTGTTTATGTATTTTCTGTTTAATGTAGTGCTATATGTTTTAAAATTAATTTTTAATATATTTTTGTTTATTTTTGTAATCCTCCTTCGGTTGTTCACTGTTTAGATTGTCAATAAGAAGCAAGCTGGTGTTGTTGGAGCTTTGCCATTACGCAGAACGGTAGGTAGTTAATTCTGATTTAATGGACTTATTTGTAAAGATGAAATTTAGGACCTTTTAATAAGATATAGAAGTATCTATTTAGCTGTCTATTCTGTCTGTCACACTGGACAGCAGATGAGCGGAATTGTAAATTAAAACATAATGAGGTTTATTCAATTTTTGTGGAATACTGCTACATGATAGGGCAGACGTGGTTAGTGCCTTGTGGGAGAGCGTGTACAATTCGGAGGAGCAGATGGATCACCACAGTCTGGTGAGATTGATGCAGTTGGCGGTGACGAGAGGTTCTGGCAGAAGCTCGAGGCTTAGAGGAAAGGCAAAACGGACGTTTAATCAGAAAGCTACTGGCACCAGTAGTATCGAAACTCTTCGCTGGCTGCTGAAGATGGGGACGGAGCGCTTATGGAAATGCCCTGAGTGCTGTGATGTCGGTTCTTGAATCAAATAAAATCAAATCAAATCATTCAATTTTTGAATGATGAATTTTAGCTAGTTTCCATGTTTAAAACTTAAAAAAAATTAAAATTTGTGGATTCTTCTAAGATATGTTTGGAGACAAATGAATTTGTTTTGATATTTAATGTTTCTAATTTTAGTACTCCGTGTTCTTTAAAAAATTATAGGAATAGTGTAGCTTGGTTAGCTGTAACAGAAGAATGTAGGACAGTGAGGGCACTTAGGATGTTCATCTTTTGCCATCCCATTCTTTTTTACAAATTAGCATCTTTGCATTTGTCTTTTGCTGATACTAAGAATGTGTGTGTATATATACATACATACATATATGAATATATGTATATACATATATGTATGTGTGTATATGTCGGCTCTGTGGCTAAGTCAGTGCGAACGCTTCGTAATGCCGGGGTGCCGGGTTCGATGCCAGCTGCGGGCCATGTGCCTTGCGATGGTTTCGACAGTGGTATCAGGGGGTCGACCGTCCAGAAAGCAACGGCAAACTACTGGGCGTAAATTTGCCTAGAGAAACCACACAACAGCCAGGGGCTGCTGGGGTTGGTTCTGCAACGTCCTGTAAAGGATACGCAACTAACCTATTTAACTAATGATGCCCCTTGTTGGTTCTAGGGGCCCATTTTGGGGTAAACAACCATTCTCATCGCCCCCTGAACAAGCTTGTTATAAAAAGCATATAATTAGTTTTTTTCTGATGTGTTCGACATAAAGGTACAGATATCACATCCTAGCTTTAAATCACCCTTTTAAGGGTGAATGCAGAAGAAAAACTAGAATAGATTACCTTCAGCGCATTGGAGGTAATCTTCTTACTTACTTACTTAGTCGCTCCTCTTCTACCTTGGGGTGTAGAGGTTTGCCAGAGAGATCGCCAGACGTCTCTATCAGCAGTTTTCTTTCTGGCTTTGTTCCATTCCAGTCCTCTGTCAGTTAATGACTGTCGGATGTTGTCTTCCCAGCGCACCCTGGGTCGTCCGGGAGGTCTGGTTCCCTGGTTCTTAACCCCCATGGTGGCCGATTTTCTCCCATTCTGCATACATGTCCAAACCATCGTAACTGTGACTGATCCACTCGGGTTTGTAAGGACTGGGTATCAAGATCTTGACGTATTGTCTGATTGCGGACTTTGTCCCTTCTTGTCACTTGGACCACCTTCCTCAGATATCTCATTTCCGAGGCCTGCAGCTGGCTTCTGTGAGCTGTTGTCATTGCCCATGACTCACACCCATAGGTCAGGACTGGTACATAGGTAGAGCGGTAAACAGTCATTTTCGTCCTCTTGCCAATTTCTCTTTTGCTAAGAAACCCTCGGTTTATGGCCTGGAAGAGTCTCTCAGTAGCTGCTTTTCATGTAGCCAGCTCAGTCTTAATGCCTACGTTTCGGTTTAATACAACTCCAAGGTATTTGAACTGGTTAACCTGCTCCAATGCATACTGTCCCATCATGATCTGGTGTTTCTTCTCCTCTCTTGAGATCACCATGGTTTTAGTTTTGGAGATACTGATGGTCATCCCTCTCTTTTCAAGCTCTTCCTTCCAGACAAGTAAGTTGGACTGAAGGTGTGCCTCTGATTTAGCTATCAGGGCCACATCATCTGCAAATGCCAGCTCTGATATACAGATTGATCTCATCTTCCAGTACCCTACAGAGTACTTCTTTGTCTTCTCCTTACAGGTCTTGATGACATCATCCATCATAAGAATGAAGAGGTAAGGTGAGAGAATATCACCTTGTCTAACACCGCTGGTGGTCTTAAATTCTTCTGACTTTTGGTCTGCCGTTCTTATATAATTTCTGCACCTTTTGTAGAAACTCTGTACCGCACTGATCAGGGATGCTGGGATGTTTTTCCCTGCCAAGCAGTCCCAGAGCTTGTTCCAGGGTACCTTGTCAAATGCCTGGTAATTTTCTCATACTAAAATGTATTCCTACGTGTCCCATTTCTGAATAATATTTAGTATGTAACTAATGGTAAAGTTGATTTTGCATGTTTTTATTTCTGAATTTCTGTGTTGAAATGATTGTTGTAACATCTCATCTGCAGCTGTCAAACCCTGCTGCTCAAGGCAAGGCACAGGTGAGAGTCACAGATAGCGGGCTGTTCGTAACCCGTCCTGTTCAGAAAACTTTGGTTTCCCTTTCAGCTGGTGGTTCCATTCAGGTCACTAGCAAGTCAAGAGTATGTGCTTTCATTTTATTTAATCTATGAAGTTTTTCTTCCTCTTGTTTTACTTGTGTTCCATTATTTAATTTATCTGTTTTCTTCTTATTCTGCTGCTTTGATTTCTTCCAATATTTATCACTATTCTGCTGTTTTGCTATTTTTCAATATTTATCACTATTCTGTTTCTTTGCTTTCTTCCAATATTTATCACTATTCTGCTGTTTTGATATTTTTCAATATTTATCACTATTCTGTTTCTTTGCTTTCTTCCAATATTTATCACTATTCTGCTGTTTTGCTATTTTTCAATATTTTTCACTATTCTGTTTCTTTGCTTTCTTCCAATATTTATCACTATTCTGCTGATAATTTTGCTAATTTGCTTGTCTTACATTACCAGTTACCACATCTTTATTCTCATTCTGCTTGTTTGTTTGTGTTTGTCTTCCATTGTTTATCTCATTTGTTTGTCTTCCATTGTTTATATTTTATCTTCTTGTTGTTTGCTAATTTCCTTGCCCTCAATTATTTGTCTGAATTTTTGTTCTTCTTCTTCTTTTTTTTTAGTGAGCAAAATTTGTATTATAAGTGTTTTATGTATTATTTGAAGTATTATTTGTCATAATAGCCATTTGGTCTTGTGGTAAGAAGAGACAAACTGAAACCTGTTTAAGAATTCATAAGATTAAGGGAGAGAGACAGGAGAAAGCAGTGAGGTATCCTGGAGAATCTAGCATCATGGCATGGAAAGTTATCAGCACACAAGGTGTTACATGCTGCTGCAAAAAATTAGGAAAACTTCTTCACCCATGTCAGTCAGGACAGCATTTAATGATGATGGTGACGACAGTCATATTCTTAGGACCGACAGTACCTGCAGAAAATTTTGTTAATATTATTTTTTCGTAATCACCACCTGGGTGAGAAATAATGATTTCAAAATAAATAGATTGATGAGAGGTGGACTTATTTTGGAAACGTAGTGGGGGTTATACAAATATATAACAGAAGAATGCTTAGAATACCTTGGACAGCCAAAAAGAGCAACCAAGAGGTTTTGAAAGAGGCGGGAGCCCTAAGACAACTTATCACAGACATCAGAAGGAGACAGTCATCATTTTTCGGCTATGTTATGAGAAGAGGGAAAATAGAACCTGCTGTGACCACTGGAAAGAGGGATAGAGGAAGACGAGAGAAGATTCTTGAAAGTCTTGTTGCATGGCACGGAGGTGTATGGGCACACAAACTGATACATGCTGCAGGAGATCACAGATTGTGGAGAGGCATTACCGCCCAAGCCCGTCGGCAAGGCACCTGATGATGATGATGAGTGGGGGGTTATAACTAGCTGCAAAAAAAAAAAAAAAAAAAAAAAGGCTTTATTGTTTTCTCATCTTAAAAACTATTCATGTTGTGTATATTGTATGTTTTACTGTCTGTGGTTCCCTCATGATTGTCCATTTGCAGCTGGAAAAATTGCTCAGCAAGTAAATGTACAAGAAAAGCTATTCTGAAACTGTTCTGTAAACAATATATAGGCTAAATTTTTCGAGTTTATACCAGCTACCTCATAGGGGAACCACATGCGGAATATGATTATAGCGGTCATACATTCAAATAAGGCTAAAAATGGTAACTGTAAGCTGTATTTTTTGGGAGGGTTAATTAATTGGTTGCAAAATATGTATTATACTAGAAGGGTTTCAATTGAAAATCTTTAAAGTATGATTTTAAAACCTTGTCTTGTGAACCTTCATTCTTCAGTTAATTTCTATAGGTTTCACCCCTTAACTGATTTAAAGAAAAAAGTTAACATAACGCTGCTTCTCTTTGGTGCATATTTAAAGTGGGATGGTCATCTTTAAACTGTCATTGTGATGTTACTATGCCCATCTTCACCATAATGTCACATACTTATCACTCTTGACATCCTTAACATAAGTATTGACAAGTTACAAGACAGTGGCATGGTTTCTATAGTTTCTAACACACTTTTAAGATTTTCATTTGAGGCTCGCTCATAGTGCAGCGGCTTAGAATAAATGAAAATGGAAAGATGAACGCACACCTTCAGAGCGAGAGGCAAATGGTTTGACCACTTCGCCACGGAATGCATGCACATTTTAAAGTGACCATTAAAGTAACTCCTAATTTGTCACTTTTTACGACACACATGTTTGGAGGGAATTACACAGTGTTTGAGAGAAAGGAAAATGCCACAGACATATTGTGTGTCATTTAGGCCATTTAAGGACAGTGTACCTTCATTTTTGTAATTGCCTTTGTGTAAATGTCAGCATGATCCTTCATTATACATCATCATCATGTAGCAGGTCCTTTGCAGAACGTCGCTCTCATCACAGTCTGCCTGAAAGAAACTCGGTCTCTCACCAGTTCTCCTGCCTCATATACTTTCATACTCAAGGAGTCACTTATATCCTGTGCCCATCTTCGTGTCGGTCGGCCCCTGCCCCTCCTTCCTGGTACCATGCCTTCTGCTATAGTTGTTTCCAATCCGTTGTGGCGCTTGATATGACCAAAATATTTCAGCTTTCGAAAAAGGATGCTGTTTATTAGCCAATCTTCCTTGATGTTCAGATCTTTTAAGATGTCAATATTTCTCCTCTTCTTTGTACAAGATATTCTGAGAATCTTTCTATAGCATTTCAGCTCAAAAGCCCCTATTCTCTTTCTTAAGGACTGAGAGATAGTCCACGACTCACATCCGTATATAGCCACAGGGAAGATGCATGCTCTCAAAATTCTAATTTTTATCTCCTTGCTGGTGCTTAACCATAGACTTTTAAGGCTGTTCAATCTTTGCATTGCTTCATTATACAACTGCAGACAATTTGTTGTTTCAGCCAATGGAAGGAAACTTTGCAAGTGCCATACCTATAATTCAGATACGTAATGACAAATACCGACATCCCGCTCAGCAGATGTCTCAGCAAAGTCAGCCATCACAGATTTACTCCAACCCTCCTCCAGCAAGACAGTCTCCATTTACAGATTACCGCTCCTCAGGCTACCCTCACACCACATTCTCTACTCAGTCAAGTGGCTACAAGGACTACGACGATCCACAGTTTAACGAGGCATCCATAGCCAAACCTGAGATTCCTAAAATAAACGTCACAAACGTTAGACCTCATGATGCAGGCAGTGTGAAACCACCAGTACCCTACATGAAAGAATACGCACAGCCACGGGCACCTCCAGGTGCTGCAACTGTGTCACAGGGTGCCAAGCCTACAGTATCTAAAACAGTGTTGCAGCCAAGCATGCTGGTTCAAGCTGGGGTGAAGAGAAAACCTGAGCAGGAAATGTCAGGTCCTTTGAGATTAGGCAGAGGTGGGGGTCCTGGAATCGACCTTGGAACAGGAGTGGGAGCCTCAGCCATGAATAAAAAGATGAAAGTGTCAGCTGTTGATATGGATGTTGTTGATGTAGTGAGTATTTGTGAATTATTCCTGTCTTACGGTGTTATAATTTTCGAAACCTCAAACATTCATGGTAAAGATCTGAAAGAAAAAAAAGAGAATAATACTGGCAACAAGAAGCAGCCATAAGAATTGACAACCAAGTTGGAATTTGTCAAAACTTTAAACAAGGCGTTAGACAGGTATGAAATATATAGCACGCACACACACACACACATACATACAACAAGAAGCAGCCTTAAAAATTGACAACCAGGTTGGACTTTTCCAAATCATTAAGCAAGGCGTTAGGCAGGGATGTGTACTATGACATGATTTATTTAATTTTTACAGTGAAATAAATTAGAGCCATAAATGGTATGCCAGAAATATTAGTTGGTGGGCATATTGTGAACAGCCTGCAATGACCTGATGATGCAGCTTTGATCACTAAAAATGAAACCCACCTGCAAAAAATGGTTGAAATAATTATAACAGAAATGTCCAAACAGTGGTCATAGTTTGAACGGTAGAGTAGAGAAACAAGCAATGGTAGTTACAAAGAAAATGGATCCCTTGTTTTTTCACCCCAGATAATATCTAAAACATTTTCTTGAGCAAGTATAATCATACCCACCAAGTCTGCACACAGTTTCACCTAGTACCAAAACTGTCCTGCAGGCCTACTGGGCACTGTCAAAAGACATGACAACTAAAACCTAGTAAAAGCTGACGTGAGGGTTACAAGAATTCAAGCTTTGTCCTTCAATATAGGGTGAGGTTGTTGTTATCGATCCAGCGGCGCATGAGCTTTGGCCGAATGCCATGTAGTGGAATTTACATGTTTTCACAAGGTGCTCTTTTCCTCCGTACAATGTGTTTCACCTCTCTGGTCTCGGAGGGAGTAGCATTCTATTAGTCTCGCTGAGTTTTGGACACACATAGAGATGATGATCAAGTTTTGTAGGGGTAGTTACATAGTTGGCACTCTGTGGATTGTTGCGTCTGTATTCTGTTATATGTCCATTGAGTGGAATATGTTGTGTTCTGAGTCTGAAGATGGTGGCCTGGTCCCTCCTTGCTAGATGGATATGATGTAAACTTTGTAGTAGTGGGACTGAGAAGATACATTGAAATATGCCAGGGAAATATATTATTTATGTCATTATAATGTAAATATATTTATAACAAATGTTTGTGTGCAGGATAGCGAAGCCGAAGTGATAAGTCCTCTTCAGGGTTTCAGAGTAATGGTGACCAATTTATATTCTGGTGTGACCCAAGATGACATCATTGTAAGTATTTGTGTGATGCTTTCCATCTAATTTCTTACACATTTTGTAATCTAGCATGTTTTATGTTTTATAACAGTAATCTATTTTGTGTACGGTGATCTGCGAAAGGCTGGGAAGCCACTGTTTGTCATCCACATACTTGAGCATTCTTCTTCTATGTTCACCCTAAAAATGGCCAAGTGGCAATATCTGCGCCTTTAGCCTAACAGATTCAGTTTCAGCAGATCCTTAATTAGTCGCCATTTGCAACATCCTTGTTAAGAGGCAAGAGTTGTAAACCCCCCCCCCCCCTCCCCCCTCCCCCTCAATAAGACCCCTCTGCTGGAAAAAACCATAACCTTACAGAGAATTCAAACCTCTCTCGCACAAGAACCCAATGCTCTTTACTGTTGGTCCAACTACTCTGTTTTGGGATTGAGGGGGAGGGATGGCTTGAACCTGAGGATTCAGGACTGCGTGGCTAGTACAATGGCAGTGAACTGTGCAGGTTGAGATTTTAACCCCCCCTCCCCCCAAAACATCCATGCCGAAACTCATCCTGGTTAAAGTATTTTTTAAATCCTCTTTATGACGTCATTAAAGTTACCATGAAAAAAGTTTGCTTGAGACATATCACTGACCTATGAGGTAATCTGTTCCTTAGACAGTGTTACCAATCAGTTTAAAAAGAAAAGAAATTATTCAGTAGTGGGGCGAGCTCGCATTGTTGACGAAAAAAGAATGAATATAGCTTTCCAGAAAGTTCATAGTATAGCATTTGTTTTTTCTTGCTGTTCTAGGAACTATTTGGAGCTGTTGGTCCTTTAAAGAAAGCCAAACTGCTGAAGCCTGGCACTGCAGAAGTTGTCTACGTCAGCAAAGAAGATGCTTTTAGTGCTGTTCAGAAGTACCACAGCCGAGAGCTGGATGGTGAGTTTAGTAACTTTTTTTTTTTAGATATTTGAGGTGTCGTTGTAGAAGTACTCTTGATTTAACATTATTGATTTACAGAATTACCAGTTTTCTTCTGCCATTTGTCCCCCAATGGAGCATAGGCCCTCAACTAACTCACGCCAAGTCATCCTTTCCTTTGGTGTTGCATGAAGCTCACTCCATTCCCGTCATTTTAACTTCACTCTCTGGTTCTTTTCTCCATGTGTTTTTTTGTTTTTGTTTTTGTTTTGACATCTTGATTCACTTGGAATTGTTTAGTTCAGTTTTGAAAAGCTAAGTTTTGTGTTTGTTGTTGTTGTCCTCACCATTTAATTCTCTATGTTTTGCGCGGGCACCAGTTAGTGAAGATTTGTAGTTCATTAGTAACTGTTTCTATGAATTCTCCATGTTTCAGCCTCATACAGCAGTACTGGTTTAACATTACAGTTAAACAAGTCAAGTTTAGTATTACTTTTTGATTTCCCAACATTTCCTAATGCTGTGTTCTATTTGTATTCTGGTATCTCTATCACTGCCCAAATATCTCTGGAGTATGGCCCCTGCGTAAATGTATTGAATATCCCTGTGCTAAAGGAAGGCAGGAGAATCACAGCCCGTGATGATGGCGAGTAGGACTAGCATGACATCTCATGTTAAAGACAAATCTTCGACAGGAAGAGCATGGGATTTCAGATTTATAATTGACATTGTGTGAATTTGATGTGCAGTCATTATGTTTATAGAAGGAAATGTGTCTCATCTGTTTATTTCCTCTTCTTGTAGTCTGAGATAGGGATTATTGAAGATGTAATAAGAACAAGTCAGTTAATCAATCAGGTGTCATCTCCTTAATGAAGGTTGGCTGCTGTGGGTCTCTGACACACTCTGTCTGGCTCTAGATGTACACTCTAGCGTGGTACTCATCCATCTTCGAATGTTAATCTCACACTTATGTCTTGTCTACCTTTTGCTCGCTTTCCTTTAACTTTTCCCTCCAGTATGTTTTTTTTAAAGCTTTATATCTTTTAATGTAGCTAAAATATTAAACCTGTCTCTTTTTTCCCCCCCCAAAAAATTTCCTTTAGCATCTTCTCTTTTTATTTTTTCATCTCTTTAGAATCTTACTTACTTACTTAGTCGCTCCTCTTCTACCTTGGGGTGTAGAGGTTTGCCAGAGAGATCGCCAGACGTCTCTATCAGCAGTTTTCTTTCTGGCTTTGTTCCATTCCAGTCCTCTGTCAGTCAGGGACTGTCGGATGTTGTCTTTCCAGCGCACCCTGGGTCGTCCCGGAGGTCTGGTTCCCTGGTTCTTAGCCTCCCATGCTTGCCATGGTGGCCGATTTTCTCCCATTCTGCACACATGTCCAAACCATCGTAACTGTGACTGATCCACTCGGGTTAGTAAGGGCTGGGTATCAAGATCTTGACGAATTGTCTGATTGCGGACTTTGTCCCTTCTTGTCACTTAAACCACCTTTCTCAGGTATCTCATTTCCGAGGCCTGCAGCTGGCTTCTGTGAGCTGTTGTCATTGCCCATGACTCACACCCATAGGTCAGGACTGGTACATAGGTAGAGCGATAAACAGCCATTTTCGTCCTCTTGCCAATTTCTCTTTTGCTAAGAAACCCTCGGTTTATGGCCTGGAAGAGTCTCCCAGCAGCTGCTTTTCGTGTAGCCAGCTCAGTCTTAATGCCTCCATTTTGGTCTAATACAACTCCAAGGTATTTGAACTGGTTAACCTGCTCCAACGCATACTGACCCATCATGATCTGGTGTTTCTTCTCCTCTCTTGAGATCACCATGGTTTTAGTTTTGGAGACACTGATGGTCATCCCTTTCTTTTCAAGCTCTTCCTTCCAGACCTCTTTAGAATCTCGGTATTTTATTCTTCTTTGTTTCTTTCCCTGAAGTACGACCTATTCTTCCTATAGCCACATTTTTAGGGTGTAAGAAACTTCTTAGAAGCTCAAATGCTTCCTAAAAGTGGGTGCTAGAAAAGTTATGTATACAGCTTATAATACAAACCTGCTCTTTCAATCAGGACAACCCATGTATGTGAAGATGACAACCCCGGTTGGTGCTGTTGTTAAAAAAGCAGTGGGAGACAATGATCCTGATATCACAGGGGAAGCTTTAAGGTAATTTTCTCTTGTGTTGTATGCAGCCTAGGTATCGTAATTGTCTAAGTATCGTAATTGTCTCTTGTGCTGTATGCATCCTAGGTTTCGTAATGGTCTTATAAAATCAGCCAGCATCTAGAGCGTACTACATGACAACAGCAGGCTACAAATCAAGAGGCCGATCAAGAAAGATACGGGTGGAGGGAGTAAAAGATCTACAGAAACACTGTGTGACATTAACACAAGCTACACAACTAGTGAAGGACACCACATCTGACTTCTCTTTATGACACTTTAGGGCATAAGCTGTAGGACAAATGAAGATGTAGAATGGTCTTTTATAATTCTAGCCCTCTACTTTTAAACTGAATGGTACTTGCGGGGTGATATGGTCTGTATCACATAAGATGCCTTTACTTCCTTCCAAGAAAGTGAAGCGCAGTAGTTCAAATTGTGTCTGCTGGCCTAAATGTCCTGGGTTCAAATCCCCACCAGGTGGATTTGGAAGAAGAAAAAAAAGGATTCCCAGGTCAGTCCACCTAATTTGGGTACCAGGTAATGTCTTGAGAAGTAAAGGCAGTCACTGTGATATTGACCGCATGCCTGATGTGTCACAGGCATAAAAAGGGATCTTTTTTCCCTTCTATCCTGTGTCTACTAATGACTAATTAGGTGTTTCTTTCGAAATCGGAGTGGATCTACCTCAGGGGGAATGCAAATAAGCCGGATCTGTAAAATGGATGTTCATACAAAACTCAAGTTCTGAAACAAGATTAAAGTCCAAAAGTTAATTTTAAAAAAACCTAGAACTTCCTGCCGGAGTTTACATCTGGTGAACACACACAGAAAAGATGAAGGGGAAGAGGTGTATAATTAATATGAGTCTAGCTTCATACTCATGATGCGCCATAGACGTAAAAAGAATTCTTTATTTTTCCATTTACTTCCTAGGAAATTTTCTAGTACCCATTGTAGGTTGGGCTGATAACAGTATTACCTTAAAGGGGAATTGACATGCCACAACTAGGCAGACAGGCAAACCAACTAGCCTCTGAGATGTGGTGTATCTAACTTGCACAGTCTTCACTTAAGAGTTTGTTACATGTAATGTGTGGCATAAGTTTATAAGTTGCAACTCTAACATAGAATGTTACAAACCTTTAGGTTCCTCACTATGGTTTAATATGCACTGCTTATCTTAGTTGTTTCCTGGCGTAATAGGTTTTTAAATTATTAAGCAGGTATTTTTTGTTAACGTTGAATTCTATTTTAGGGATTACAAAATGTTAAATGCTTTGCTGTGACATGACCATTTTTGGTTTTATGTATATTGTTTAATTATAATATAAAGTGCTTTGGAACTATGTTGGTCAGTGTCAACAGTTGTTATAATGTTGAACAAATTTTTTAACTCATGATTTTATAGCATTAAAAAGCTGTCAGTTGTCCTGGGAGACATTTATAATCATCAGGTTTGCTTGTCACTGCAATAACTCATGTTTGTTTGTTGCAGTTATATTTTTTATTAAACTATTTCATGAGATATTTTTTTTTTTAAGTTGCATATTTTTTTTAAATATCTAAAATGATTTAATTGTTTATACTGAGGATTGTACTATTTTTCAGATTGTATAGAAAAGCTGCGGGAACAGGATCACTGATTGAAGCTCCCATTGAAATTCCAACAATCCACCGAGCGCTATTCAAGGCAGGACCCCCTGGACCTAACAAGTCCGTAAAATTTACGGTCAAAATTTAAGACACTTTTTTTCTAGGAGCTTTGGTTCTCATCTTTTTTGTTTGTTTGTTAAATTATGGAAATGGTAGTTCTCTTTGTTTTTTAATCAAAAGCTTGAGGCATCAGAGAAATAAATAATTGTGAGCGTAAAATGCGAACGACAGAATGTTGTCATTATTTTGTTCATGGTCATGTATCATCTTTGTAAAATTAACATAGCCTGACGTTCTTGATGGTTTAAACATTATTACGAGAGATTGTAGTGTATGCTTCATTTATTTCTGCAGCGTGAGAATATGTAAATATACACTGCAGTCAGTCATTGAAATGATTTGTGTGTTTGTTTATATACCTAATGGTGTCCTTCAGTGAGATAATATTCATGCACTTATTTGTAAAAACAGGAATAACTAGATTTAGAGTGGACCACTCAATCGTGACAGTGGAATTGTCTGTGAAACACTACCTGTTTATTATAGAGATAGTTACATGACTTGTGTGAACAGGTCATAGTTCTATGACTCAGGACAGAGCTCAACGAACTCAGCAAGCGTACACACAGACTTCGTTTGAGTAGTTCACCACTGTATCTATGTGGGCTGTGTATACAGACAGCAAGACCATATCTTGAAGGAAGAAAATGATGGACTCGGAGCTGTGTGAAACTTAACAGCTTCAAAAAACATAGTTTTTTTTTTTCATAAGAAATCAATGTAAATCATGGATGGAAGAAGAAGGTGAAGTCATAGATTCAGTTAACTTTTAATGTTTCTTCAATTATCTATTAAGATTTACCATACTTTTTAATATTTGGTAGGTTAGTGTATTTTTTTCAATATTTTGAACTAAATTTGATAATTGCGGCTTGGTGCTGAAAATAAATTTGACCATCTGCCATTTCTTGTTTAACTAAAGTATGACTCATCAGAGAAAGTGTCATTTAAGACCTATTCAGGCTTTGATACCCTCGGAACTAGCAGCACTACCCTCTGTTTATGCCATTTTCTTGTCATAGAATATATGTAATTAGTCAGACACAGTATATTCTCGCTAGTAATTCAGTTTTTAACTATGCTGCTAAGTAGCTTGAGAATAAGCATGTGATTTTGTACCAACTGTGGATTCTTTCTACAACCTTGTGGTTATTCAGCACTATTGTGAGGGGGAAAAAAAAAAGATTCCCCCACACACGCCCCCAACGATCGTGTTGTAAAAGGCGAGTACTTAGGGGTGTTTCTTCTCGAAGTGTATCTGCCTGAGAGACGACAAATCAACAATCTTCACACAAAAGCCACAACTGTAAAACAGAATTGTACAAGCGAAAATCGCGGTCTGTAACATGACTGAAGTGGAGAAGTAAATGAACAACTAGAACCTTCTGCCAAAGTTTACAGCTAGAGAATGCTAAGAATACGAAGAAGATTTCTTCTAGATAGTCTTTGCTGATGCAATCTGTCATACAAGCTCTCAAGAGTGGTCAACTTTTGATTCCATCTAGACAGTCACCTTTACTGATTCTATCTACCCTACAAGCTCTCAAGGGTCGTCAGCTTTTGATTCTGTCTAGACAGTCACCTTTACTGATACTATCTGTTCTACCAGCTCTCAAGGGTCGTCAGCTTTTGATTCTGTCTAGACAGTCACCTTTACTGATACTATCTGTTCTACCAGCTCTCAAGGGTCATCAGCTTCTGATTCTATCTAGTAACCTTTACTGACACTATCTGTCCCACAAGCTCTCAAGGGTCATCAGCTTTTGATTCTGTCTAGACAGTCACCTTTACTGACACTATCTGTCCTACAAGCTCTCAAGGGTGGTCAGCTTTTGATTCTGTCTAGACAGTCACCTTTACTGATTCTATCTGTCCTACAAGCTCTCAAGGGTGGTCAAATTTTGATTCCATTTGGTCACCTTTACTGATTCTATCTGTCCTACAAGCTCTCAAGGGTGGTCAACTTTTGATTCCATCTGGTCACCTTTACTGATTCTATCTGTCCTACAAGCTCTCAAGGGTGGTCAACTTTTGATTCCATCTGGTCACCTTTACTGATTCTATCTGTCAAACAAGCTCTCAAGGGTGGTCAACTTTTGATTCCATCTGGTCACCTTTACTGATACTATCTGTCCCACAAGCTCTCAAGGGTAATCAGCTTTTGATTCTGTCTAGACAGTCACCTTTACTAATACTATCTGTTCTACAAGCTCTCAAGGGTCATCAGCTTTTGATTCTATCTAGTAACCTTTACTGATACTATCTGTCCTACAAGCTCTCAAGGGTCATCAGCTTTTTATTCTATCTAGTAACCTTTACTGATACTATCTGTCCTACAAGCTCTCAAGGGTGGTCAACTTTTGATTCCATCTGGTCACCTTTACTGATTCTATCTGTCCTACAAGCTCTCAAGGGTGGTCAACTTTTGATTCCATCTGGTCACCTTTACTGATTCTATCTGTCAAACAAGCTCTCAAGGGTGGTCAACTTTTGATTCCATCTGGTCACCTTTACTGATACTATCTGTCCCACAAGCTCTCAAGGGTAATCAGCTTTTGATTCTATCTAGTAACCTTTACTGATACTAACTGTCCTACAAGCTCTCAAGGGTCGTCAGCTTTTGATTCCGTCTAGACAGTCACCTTTACTGATACTATCTGTTCTACCAGCTCTCAAGGGTCATCAGCTTTTGATTCTATCTAGTAACCTTTACTGATACTATCTGTCCCACAAGCTCTCAAGGGTCATCAGCTTTTAATTCTGTCTAGACAGCCACCTTTACTGACACTATCTGTCCTACAAGCTCTCAAGGGTCGTCAGCTTTTGATTCCGTCTAGACAGTCACCTTTACTGATACTATCTGTCCCACAAGCTCTCAAGGGTCATCAGCTTTTGATTCTATCTAGTAACCTTTACTGATACTATCTGTCCCACAAGCTCTCAAGGGTCATCAGCTTTTGATTCTATCTAGACAGTCACCTTTACTGATTCTATCTGTCCTACAAGCTCTCAAGGGTGGTCAACTTTTGATTCCATCTGGTCACCTTTACTGACACTATCTGTCCCACAAGCTCTCAAGGGTAATCAGCTTTTGATTCTGTCTAGACAGTCACCTTTACTGATACTATCTGTCCCACAAGCTGTCAAGGGTGGTCAAGTCTTGCAGCTGAGAAATTAACTAAACAAGGTAGCTGCCATAAATGGAGCTATATTTCAGTGAATACCATCTCACTGTGACAAATTGAAAGTGATAAAGTTGCAAACAGAAGGGAGGGAACAGAACAAGAAAACATGATGACTAACCAGGTAATTAGGATAAAGTAAAATCAAATCAACAACTACTACCATACTTTTGACTCATCAGCACAGATCACTTTTCTTTGTCTGAGGTCAAAGAGGCAGTACACATTTCTTTGTTTGTCTACTATGGCACTGCGATGAATATGTAGGCCGATTGTACCTGTTGTTGAAGATGTTTTGCAGATCTATTATTTGTAGAGTGAATGGAGGGAAAAAAGTTACTCAAAACTATGGAACTGAAGAGGAACTGTAGACAACTGTTTGAGTTTGTCATGAAAATTGTGACATCTGAGATGGATTCAGAGAGAGAGAGAGAGAGAGAGAGAGAGAGAGAGAGGGAGGGAGGGAGAGAGAGAGAGAAGCATAACTGATTTTGAAAAACAAAAAAGTCTTTATTAATACTGAAAGCTGTTATGGTTTTTGTCTGTGAACAGTTTGTATATTATCAGTATTTGCAGATTTCTGTTGGGACCATATTTAAAGGCAAGATAAATTACAGTTTGTTCATCTTGTTTACTGTGTTTGGCCTTGTGTAGAGGCTAAGTGGGGACAAGTGAATGTTATAGAAAGGGGAGTTTAGATGCAGTAAAATCATTGAATCACTGTACATCTGGTGTATTCGTACACAGTTCTAACATTTTCTATATCATCATCTTCTTGTTCACTAGATATAAACTCTGGCAGAAGTTCTGGTTGTTTGTCCACTTCTGGACTCCTGTTCCTGTTTCAGAACCCGAGTGTTGCATGTGCGTCTGTCAGAGACCTACTTTACCATAATCACTTTATATGGCTCGTTATGTAGGCCAGCTAACAGACTTCACTACCCTGGACACACTTAAAACACGCACCGGCTGAGTACAAACATAATCTTTAATGTACAATGAACAACACAGCTCTAGACACCTCAACTGAGTAGGCAGTTTCTATCTGAAACCGCTGGCGTTGAGCAGCTTTACAATCACTGGTCAACTCAAGCCGGTCCCCATGGATCTACAAGAAACACAACTCCTAGCTGTTTTACATATCTGACTTATTTGTATGCAGACAGCTGGTGGATGCACTCCACCATCAAAGGAAGCCCCCAATCAGTTGACTCCTACGACATGCTCATTGGGAAGGCAGTGGTGAGTCTTTTCTTGATTTCTCCACAATAGGACTCTGGAACCCACACGGGGAATGTGTTTGTGTGTGTATCATGACCTCCATATGTGGGTTCCAGCGTCCCAGTGTGAAAGAAAAAAAAAAGAATATACCCATTGTTCCGTAACAAGCATATTGTAAAATCATCTACAAGGAACAAACAGTCTGCACACAACAAACAGTCTGCACACAACAGTCTGCATACAACAAACAGTCTGCACACAACAAACAGTCTGCATACAACAAACAGTCTGCACACAACAAACAGTCTGCACACAACAAACAGTCTGCATACAACAAACAGTCTGCATACAACAAACAGTCTGCACACAACAAACAGTCTGCACACAACAAACAGTCTGCATACAACAAACAGTCTGCACACAACAAACAGTCTGCACACAACAAACAGTCTGCACACAACAAACAGTCTGCATACAACAAACAGTCTGCATACAACAAACAGTCTGCACACAACATACAGTCTGCATACAACAGACAGTCTGCACACAACAGACAGTCTGCTCACAACAGACAGTCTGCACACAACAGACAGTCTGCACACAACAAACAGTCTGCATACAACAAACAGTCTGCATACAACAAACAGTCTGCACACAACAGTCTGCATACAACAAACAGTCTGCATACAACAAACAGTCTGCACACAACAAACAGTCTGCACACAACAAACAGTCTGCATACAACAAACAGTCTGCACACAACAAACAGTCTGCACACAACAGACAGTTTGCATACAACAGACAGTCTGCACACAACAAACAGTCTGCATACAACAAACAGTCTGCACACAACAAACAGTCTGCACACAACAGTCTGCATACAACAAACAGTCTGCACAAAACAAACAGTCTGCACACAACAAACAGTCTGCACACAACAAACAGTCTGCATACAACAGACAGTCTGCACACAACAGACAGTCTGCATACAACAGACAGACTGCATACAACAGACAGTCTGCACACAACAAACAGTCTGCATACAACAAACAGTCTGCACACAGCAAACAGTCTGCATACAACAAACAGTCTGCATACAACAGTCTGCATACAACAAACAGTCTGCATACAACAAACAGTCTGCATACAACAAACAGTCTGCACACAACAAACAGTCTGCACACAACAAACAGTCTGCACACAACAAACAGTCTGCACACAACAAACAGTCTGCACACAACAAACAGTCTGCATACAACAAATAGTCTGCATACAACAAACAGTCTGCATACAAATAAGCCAGATCTGATGTGCAAGCAATACCTGGAACAAAGCCAGTGGTTTGAAGTGGAGGAACACCCAGAACTTTCTGCTAGTTTACAGCTGTTGAACATTAAAAAGAATAAGATAAGAATTAAAAGACACAATCTCCGTAAGCCAAGCAAACAAAATTATAAGACACAGTCTCTGTGAACCCAGCATAAAATGGTAATGAAATATAAAGCTGATAGATGCAAAATTGATCACATCACCCTCTCATAAGTGTCTATAAAAACTGAGAGTCATACACCAGTGGCTAGGTGTGATCAGTTGGCATGTGTAAGCGTTATCAGAAAATGATTACACTAGAGGTAGTATCACGTGATATTTTCCTATTTTTTGCTTCGCTGTTGAAAGTGCGCACAGCTGGTATTTTATTACTAGTGACTGGTAGCTCTTACACATTACAGTTTCTGCACCAGTGGCGTAAGAATGCAACGAAGGTACTTTTCACTATATTAATACTCTTAACAAGCAATATTTGCTCGGCGAGAGGTAAGCCGAGTGGCTTATTTGAAGCAAATAGTAAACAATAATAATAAATAGTAAAATAGTGCATTTTTTCTATTTTTAATGAAAAATGTAAGCTGTGATTAAAGCAATTACATGCACGCATCGCCATCCCATAAACTCATTCTATTTCAAGGCGAGTAAGCACCTAGGTTACTTAATTTGTGCTTTAAAGGGTAAAAAAGGTAAAGTCCGGACATGTGAACCAGCGTCATTACACACGGTTATAAAACATAAGTGCTCTGCCACCAGTACGGACGGCTGATAAGAATTTGTCAGCCTGTGTCGCCGTTCGCACGTAACTCCGTAGCTACAGCGACTTTCCTCCATTTACCCCAGAGTTTTAACTCTGGTACCCATTTTCTAGAGGCGGGGTGGATCCCAGGAACCACCGGCCTTGGGCTGCAGCGAGTCGCAGCTGGATTTGAAAGCGAATCTCCTATCGACTGCGCTAACGAGGCCCTATGTGCTTTAAGAAAAGCCCCACTTGGTGGAATTATGTTGGACAAACCGGTAACCTGGAGTCGTATGAAAATGTGACTGTCAACAAAGCCAGCCATACATCTTTAGTCAGTTCCTCTACTTCATTTTTTTGTTTTTGTTTTTAGTATCCAGAAGCCATGAGTTGTTAACCCTTAGGCTCTGTATTATGGACATCGCAACCTTCCGGCCTTGATTCCATTATAACTACCGTAAATCTGGGAGAAAATGTGGCTTTTCTGCCTACCCCCGGGAGTGAACCCGGACCACAAGGAGTTCGTCACCCGGTCACCGCGCAATCCGGTTTAGCCAACTACGCTAGAGAGCCGGGCCCTCTACTTTATTTAAACAGCATCATCGAGAATAATTGCCATGTGTGATGACCCTGCTTTGCATGGTCTCCACAAGTACATTGTGGCAAGCAGAAAGTCCGTGCAACAAGGGACAGCACGAGATACTTGTGCCTAGTCGAGGAAGCGAGGGAAAGCCCGAGCTAGACCAGGGTTGCCATATTGGCATTTTTTATGCCAGATTCCATAAATCTGGCATATTTGAAATTGAACTGGCATAAGATAATGAACTGGCATATTCTGGCATATTTTGATTTTTTCTGGCATTTCTTATGAAGATGTACTCACATTTTCTTCATGTTCCTCTATTAGAAACACGCAAATTTACTAAAAGCAATGTAGACCTAAAGTTAAAATCTTTATTTCAGTTTGACTTTGTTGTGATGTCCTGGTACGGACTAACGGAGATTAGCGCCATTTCTTATTGTTTTGTTGCCTTCCTAAACGGATCGTGAATGTTATAAACCTCTGTAATTTATGTTAATTTACTAGAATAAATGCGAGATATAAAACGAAATCCCACCACTGATACCAAGTGATTCAGACTGTTCAGAAACTACTTGAGGACATAAAATAGATAGGATATAGACCTAGTTCTATCTGTGATAGATTTTATTACTGTTACTAATGGCTACGTCATCCAAAAAATGGGAAGTATCTTATGAAAGCAATCGCAAGTATAATAGTAATTGGGAGAAAACATACTCATGGCTCAAAAGATCTTCAGACGGATCAGAGGCAGCATATTGTAAACTGTGTCAGTGCACTGTTGCACCAAGAATTAGTAGCATTTCAAATCACGAAAAAACCGAAAAACGCAGGATGAAAATCCGTCAAAAAGCCAGTCATAGCTTATTACAACAATAACTCCTAGGCAAAGTAATGATAAAGTTAAAGCAGCAGAGTTGCAACTTTCTGTAAGCATGACCTGCCATTGTGCAATACACACAATTGATCATTTAAGTGAAATAATGAGAGCGCATGGTCAGGGGAGTACATTGGAGCACATACAGTTGCATAGAACTAAATGTTTATGCTTAATAAGAAATATTATATCGCCTGCACTTAAGGATGACCTTATTGATGATTTTCGGAACAAGAACTATGCCATCATTATAGAAAGTACTTGTGCATTATAGATTTTTCAGTGACAGGAAAAATTAAATATTTACAGGATTTCTTGCTTTGATTTCCTTGCAAGTGGCTACAGGAGAAAACTTATTTAATTTGATTGATAATGAAATCAAAAGGTGTGGTCAGAGTCTTACAAATTGCATTGGGTTTGCGTCAGATGGCGCTTCAAACATGGTCGAGTGCAAGAACTCTGTATGGTCCAGAATTAAAGATGTGTCTCTTTTTTGTGTACAGCTGTGTATCTGCCATTCACTAGCACTCTGCATTTGTAGTGCAATTGCCAAGCTGCTATCAAATATTGGTTTCTTACTGTCATAAATACCTTAGTGGTTTTCGTCATAGTGATTTAAGATGAGAAGCCTATAAAGAACTGTTTAGAGGGATGAACATATCTACGGAGTTTGAATCAGAATGAACTGATCCTCTTCCATTTCAGAAACTGTCATCTCCTAGGTCGCTTGTGTGTGGAAAGATTATGTTCAATATGTTGATGAACTGGAAAGAATTGAAAGCTTATTTCACATGTCCTGAATTAGCACAGACAACTTTTGACACAAAATATAAAGTAAAGGAAATGCTGTTAGACCACAATAATTATTTGTACTTTGTGTTTGCGACACCAACTGTACACGAATTTGAAAGAGTGAACAGTCTTTTTTCAACAAACAAAAGCTGATCCTCATGAACAAGAATATACACCAAGAATTGTCCATGCACCAGAAAAATTTTAAGAACAGACTGTACGACGTCAATGAGCAGAAAAAAAAATAATTATCAGGTTGACTTTGGTATTAAATTCCTAACGGAATGTAATGCGTTCCTACAGAAGAATAACGGGACTGAAGTTCAGATAGAAATAAACAATGTTGATAAAAGATGCATGTCTGTGCTAGAGGAAGCTCTCAATCAAATTACGTGTAGACTTCCCACCGAGAATATATTTCAAAATCTGTCAAAATTGAGCCCTTTGGCAGTTTTAAATAAAATATCAAGGACAGTTTTCAGAGCTACAATTTTTACACCTGGCAGAAAACAACATCAGTATTTTAGAAGATCAGTACATAAAACTGATTGTTGTCAACTGGAAAGAAGAAGTTACATTTAAGAAGGATGGACTACCTACAAACAGTGAAGAGTTTTGTATAGGCGTACTTCGACACCAGGCATTTAAAGAGTTGGCCACTTTCGCCCTTACTTGCCTAATAATGCCAGTTAGCAATGCTGTAGTTGAGAGAATATTCTCTCTTGTTACTTCAGCTAAATCAAAAGCAAGAAACAAAATACAACTGGATTTTCTTGATGCAGTTGTCAGAATTAGAGCAGAACTATTTATATCAAAGAAATGTTGCAAAGACTTCATTCCATCTGAGTAAATGCTTAAAGATTTTACATCCGAATAGGTTTATGTTGCATCTTCCATTGGTTCCAGTGAGGATGACAGTGAAGAATTCAATCTAGAACTTTTGATGTGAAGTGAGTACAATGTTACACTTTACTTGGCAATTTTCTGGCATATTTTGGGTGATGGTTTGGCATAAAATGAAGTTTTTTTTATCTGGCAACCCTGAGCTAGACCAGTGTTGCCACTTTGGATCTTTTATATCCAAATTTAGATCTTTTTCATTGCATTTAGATACTGTTTTTGACGTTTAGATCGTAAATATTTTCTAGACGCTTTTCATATGGAGTTAGATATTTTATAGATTTTTTTTCTTTCATTGTCAATTTAATAATTACTGTGTAAAATAAATATCTGGCAGCCCCGGTACTGATTAATAAAAACGCGCCTAAATCATACTAACTTTGTTTCAACCGTAT